ATTAGGCTTATGCTCAGTGTGGCGCCACCACACATTATGCACTCGAACATCTGTACTGTTTTCACCCCCACAAAACAAAGGGTGGGGGCAGGGGAGGGGGGTAGTTTTTTACTCAGCCACCAGGTGTCAGGCTTTCCATAGACTTTGGGAAGGGGATGCGGCCCCTCCACCAGAGATGGTTTATTAAACTTGTCAGCTTCACTATGTTACTGGGCTGATACTGAGATTAGCTTAGAAAAACTGCCTGATCAGGCAATGATATGGTTTCAGAGCTCTGTTCAAAATTCCTTTAGTTACTTTGTGCATTCAAGTACCGGCGTAAACATAATTACGAAGAAATTATACATGCAAAAGCTATTTTCCACATCATTTGGGCGCAATTATGAACTGAATTGAAATGTGCCCTTCAACTGTAGGGTTTTTTTTTCATTCTCATGCTCATTTGCTGGGTCTATTTTGACACAAGCAGATTGATGTCTGTCTGTCATAACCATATCTGGTCTGTAAAAAGCTGGAGACTGTTTCTCTCCATCCTGCAATTGTTCTCTGTTGCCCATCATTAGCAGGTCTAGCTGGGCCCAGAGCTGGCATTTAAAGTGGCTAAAGGTTACAGACGAAACATGAGAGCAAAGATGCAAAGATTTTGATTGACACCTGTGGCCAATTAGCTGCTGTTGCCAAGGCCTCCAGCAGAACACAGGAGAGCGAAACGAGACTGTCTGCCAAATTAAAGCTGCATTTCTGATGGGTCAACTCAGAGGTGGCAGAGAAAAAAAAAGAGGTTTTACTGTCTGTCTCTATTGTACAAGCATATCTTAACTCACATGCAGAATAGGCTATTCATCACTTGTGGCTTTTTGCAGAGTCGTTTTCAATTCCATATTTCAACAAAGAGATATAAAGAGATTTGCCATGATATAAAAATTATCTGTTACTGTTTGCAATATAAAAATGAGTTATTAATTTGTTTAGATTGCTAGCACTTCGGTGAGTAAATAAGGTGGTGAATAAAAACAGTCATTAATTAGATACTTATAGGCTGTAATATTTTTACCCATAAAAGCTTCCACATGATGTCAATCCTCTTTGACGCATCATAAGGCAGTGTAGTTGGTTGGTATCAGGATAGGCCGAAAGTACGGTCCGATACGCATTTGGTGATATTTCATTTACATGATATACAATATATTTTAGGAACAGTGTTGGGCAGAATACTTTGAAAAAGTAGTGATAGCTGAATACTGAATACACTGTCCTGAATGTATTCAGTAACTTATTCAGTTACAATACATACAAAAGTAACATACCGTCGATGTCCAAAGAAAACCGCGTACCTCCATTTCTGGCAATTTTTATTTTTCTATGCCATTTCGACACACCAGCTGTCCTTTACGCTGTGTGATGTATGGATCAATAGAAATGCTCTAAAAACACTTGGAATAAAATCTCTTCACATTAACTTACACTGAAAGGTAAGAGTGTTTTTGTCTTCTCCTGTAAAGTTACTATTTTGTTTTTCTTTGGCCAGTGACAATATTTAGAATACATTTAGAAAACATGCTGAAAAGGCAGATGGGAAGAACTCTGCTGTCGTGTTTATTATGTAATTCACATTGTTTCTTGCTGTTACTAGTTGGCAGGTTTCTTCAAGAAAAATTAACTTACTTTGGCTCTCACTGCCTGCTCCCATAATCCCACCCTCATATCCCAATAACAATATCTTGAAAATTTGACTATAAAGTGGGGAGCTATGCAATCTACAGTTAATGGCATGTATGTTAATAGAAGGTCCAGTACAACATTGATGCTAAGCTTATCTCTCATGAACATGTCCACTACTGAGGAAACTCAGTTCCATCATCCCTCAAAAGAGCTCAGTAACATTACAAACTACAAATTATCAATATCCAGCTCATCACACTGATTTATCAGTCTACTCAGGCTTTAGCAGAAACTTCAGTGTTTGTAGAGAAGCCGTTTTTTGAGTCCCTCTTTAGCGTATATCTTTACACACCATGTACTGATTTTTAAATAGTTAATAAACAAGCACTGATGGTGTTTCTTTCAAAATGGTACATATATTTAATTTAGTGGTTAAGTATTTTAACAGTATTGTCCTACAAACTTTAAAGGTAACTGTATTCTAAATACTGCCGTTACAAAACACTTGAATTCTGTTACATCCCAACCCTGTTCAGATATATACGACCAATATTATGGCATTTCGATATTGATGGCTATCAGTATCAGGCAGATTCTCAGCAGAGAATGCTGGATATTATATCCAAGATCAATTTGTGTTTCTATTTAATTTTTTAGCAAATTAGCAATAAACAACAAACTTAGGGGCTGGACCTTGACTCTTTAAAAAAGGTTAGATAAAAACTGCCATTCCTCAAAAAAAAAAAGAAATTTTCTTCATTTTTATCTTAATTTTGTTGCTGAATTGTAAAAATTAGTGATATTCTTGAAATACATTCTTAAAAGGCCCATATCCTACATTCTTCTCTTCTTTTTCCCCTCTGAGGTCAACTTACTACAAACACAGATGAGCAAAAACATTACAACTACCTGCCTAATATGCTGTTGGTCCTCAGGCCGAGGAATGGACTCTGGACACTGTCCAGAGCATCATAGCCCCTCCACCGGCTTGTCTCCTTCCCACAGTGCATCCTGATGACATCACTTCCACCGGTAAAAGGCGCAAACATACCCAACCAATTTCTGTGACGTGTGCCACAGTAGCCCTTCTGTCCGTTCAGACTAAATGGGATAGCCTTCATTGCGCATCTGTGAGCCTTGGTTGCCCAACACACTCCAGTTTATGGTTTGTCCCTCTTTGGATCACTGACGGTAAGCACTCACCACTGCTGACCAGCAGCGCCCCACAAGCCTTGTTTTTTCAGAGATGTTCTGAGGCCTCTGTTCTGATTGGCTTTCCTGTATAGTGCATCCTTCAAAAAGTAGTCCTGGCTAAAATACTTCAGTGTGAATGGGTGGAGCTAAATTGCTGTACGCTGAATAGGCAGATAAATGTAAATGATTAATTTTTTATGACGTCACAAAAACAATGAATTCAAAACAGGCTGTTTTTGCAGCTTAATTTTCATATATGGACTAAATGGACTGGGGCATGAATGGTATGTTTTGAAACTTTAACAGTGTATGCATACTGTATCAGATTAAGAAAAAACTGTTTTTGCATGATATGGACCATTTAAAATGACCAAGGAGTATTTGTTCCTGTTGGCTGTTTCCTTCATCGCGTCTCCTTCTTAAATCGACTCTGTTAATCTTGTTAAACTTGTTATGTTTGCATATGAAGTTACTTTGGTTGGTCTCATTTCAAACAACCATGAGTCCACACACTGGGAGGAGGTAAGGTGGCTGGTGTCATGGTATGGATCTAATAATCTGAGGTGAAACATACAAAAAACTGTGCAGATGACCTTTGATTTCAGAAAAATAGCCACCCAGCTGCCTCCACTGGAGATACACAGCACCACAGTCAGCAGAGCAGAGTCCGGCCTTAACAGAATCTATCACCGCAGGAATCCAAATTCCTGCCTTAATACAATCCATCATCACATCCTCCATCATCATCTAGTTCGGCTGGGAAAATCATGGCTGATCCCTCACACCCTGGTCACTCTCTCTTCCAGCGGTTTCCATCTCAACAGAGACCAAGAGTGTGAGCCCTTAAGACTCTGACCAACCGTCACATCCACAGCTTCTTTTATCTGACCATAATCCTCCTAAACAAGGACTATTCTCAGATCTGTCTGCTTTTGTGGGCCCATATCATACAAAAATAATTTCCCTCACTTTTTTAAAATAAGAGTTTAATGTAGTATGTAAACATTGTTAAACTTCCAGAAGGTACTGTTCACTCTCCAGCCCATGCAGTCCATAGATGGAAACTAAAAATGGCCTGTTTTGAATGAATAAAGATAAAATAATGAAGACTTTTTAAAGAAAATATTGGAAAACTTAGATGTGAGTTTTACATGTAAAGTTGATAAAATTGGGTTTCGCTGGGGACTATATTCCCTTACAATGCCCAGCATTTACCTCTCCACCATTAATAAAGACCAAAATCTTATCTCAGAACTACTGTATAAACAATGGCTCAGTCATCAGGCAGTATATTTGTAACCATTTAATATAATAACCTTCTGTGAGGGTGCTTTTAAATGGCTTTAATCTCTTCAGACGTCTGGTTCCTATCACCAGCATGAATGACACTGTTTACATCTTCACCGTTTAATAATACAGAATGTTTAAAAATTTAGTAGGATTTTAGATTCTTTAAGTTTTTTTAGGAAAGCTTTTGCGAATCTGGCCTAGCCCCAGGTTATAGTGAGCATTTAGCCTACTACGTTCCACCTGAGTTTAAAAGCCTTATCATCTTTTAACCTCGACCATGAATAAGTTAAAAAAAAAAGAAAGAAAGAATATTTTTCTTTGCAAAGCAATGTAAAAAAATAGATGTGTATGAACCAATATGATCGACAGAATGACCGCCTTCAGAATCAATGTACTGATACACCCCTACTTTGGACATAGTACACACTATAGGCCTACTTATTATGCAAAAGCATCTTACTCATGACGAGATTATGAGGAAGAAAGATCATATCAGTTTTACTGAGACTACTGAACAATAGCCTACATTTGAATAGGCTACGTAATTCTCAGCACGTTTACTGCTTTAAGCAGCCACCTAATCACACTGCGGCTCCACCACAGGCCTTCATTAGACGACCACCTCTCTTATCAGCTGTGGGCTGAAAGGAAACGGGTGATTTTCACAACACACCCAATTTAGCTTTTCAGATGTAAGGAAGTTTATTCGTCGGTACAGTGGCTTAGTCTCGATGTAAGGCGGTGTGTATTTCCACATTTACACGGTAAGTCGTCTTTCCCCTCCACTCAGTCTGTCCATTTTTCTCGGATTCAGTTCAAACTACTGCAAACACTCAAGCGCTAATGCGCATGCGCGCTGACCGATAGGAAGTTTGGACTTTTCGTAGTAAATGTTTAGCACCTGATCCGACGTGAATGGTAAGAAAACTAAACTTTTACCTCCACTTTCTATCTATGCGCGGTATTACAGGGGTCTATTTAAGGAACAAGAGGTGCTGTAAAGTTTGTGAAGAGTTAAGTTAGGCTGTTTTACAAAATTTTAGCCTTGTGGCAGGAGTTTCTCAGGTGCTGTTGGAGCAGCAGGACGTGTGTTTGCTAACCGCTGCTGCTGCTTCTTCTATCCTCAGGAGGAGCGGAATGACTGACTGGCTGGCTGCAGTTGTTTAACTGTTCTTTTAAGTTACTGAAGGTTCATTTCATCATATCGTGAGGAAAACCTTTGGCTGGCTTATGTTCATTATGTTTACTTCGTAAAGTGCTTGGGTGTTCTGCCACGCATACATTTGAATAGCAAAAAACAGCTGCGTAGTGGTTGTATGAGGTTACTTTAATTTAACTACTTCCCGTTCAGCCCCACATAAAAACTCAACGTTCGCTTAATGATAGCAGACAGGACGACTGTTAGACTTTACAGCGCTGTAATCCAGTACGGCAGAGAAATACATCTGTTTTGTTCAGACTAGACATAAATGTGGCTGGGATGTAGGGCTGGGCATGATTATTTATCGTTATCGTGATGAATAACATTACGGTAACATGACAGTGTGCTTTTCTGAGTATATCGTGGATACCGTCAGTACTTAAAACACTTACCAACTGCATTAGTCTTGTTAAACTGGTTCTAGTGCAGCACAGTGTATGAAATGTTGAATACAAGTAATTGTTTTTTTTCTGTAGTTTTTAGTAGTATTTTTAAATGTGGTACTGCTTTGTCTGGTCTAATCTATAATAGATGTCAGAAAAAAAATAATTACTCTGACATATTGTGTATCGTCATATTACATTTTGCCATATCGCCCATTTCTACAGGGATGTGACCGTGTGGTAGTGTGCTCCTAGTAGGGTGCTTGATTATGGCAAAAATCGTAATCACAATTTTTTGGTTAGTATTGAGATCACGATTAGTTAAGATGATACACACGTATTAGTGTGTATGTGTGTGTGTGTGTATGCATGTATGTGTGTGTATGTATGTATACATACATACATATATATACACACACACATGCATAACTGTTTTATTAAAAATATAGATATGAATAGTTTTCCATTATATGGAGCCTTTAATGGATCAGTCAGGTATTTCAGAATAACACAGTGGCAACTAGGGGTGCGGGAAAAAATCGATTCTTAGATGCATCGCAATGCAGATGTGAACGATTCTGAATCGATTAGCAAATGTCAAAAATCGATTTTCTAAATATTTAATTTATAACGTAATATTGACGGAACGCAAAAGGCGGAACTTGGAAGTGCGGAAGTGCAGCACCCGGACAGTCTCCCTCTGCATTAAAAGCCAGGTTAGGTCAGTCACAACCTAAATGTTAAGAAGAGCCATTTTGTCGTTTCAACAAAAATCAAACCAGCTTGGGAGCCACAACATTTAATGCCCAGTATGTCTCAGTGTGTGATAATATCCTAGTTTAGGCTAAACAATATAAAGGACAGTGCAGACTTACTTTGCTCTGCTTTAAGCTTCAGCTATAGCCGCTTTCCTCCCCTTTCCCTCAGTAAACTTTTATTCAAAACTAGAGCAGTTTATTGTAAAATGTCTCTCAGCGTTCGACTGTTTTACAAGGCTGAAGTCGCTTCTTATTCTCCAGCTTCTTGTTCAAATTTTCCTGTTCCACCTTAAGTTCTGACTGAGATGCGGAATGTGAATGCGACACCATTTAAGGTGGAACAGGAAAATTAGAAAGAGAAGCGACTTCATCTTCCTAACTGTTTAGTGTTTGACAGTCTCTCGTTGCAGATTTAACATACCAGGAAACCAACTGCGCTGCTTATAAATGCGAATAACGCATCGTTGCTAGGTGACCTGCAGTCTGCACACCAATTCTCAGTCCTTGCAAAACAGGGCTTTCGTGCTATGTTGCACACGTCCCGTCTCGAAGATATTTTGCTGACACAGCGATCCCCCCACCTCTCTCTACAACGAGACCAAAACCGAAGTTATAAAATCACAAGAAAACGGGTAGAACAGCTGTAACGTGCTGCATGGTCATCCATCACCACTGGATCTTTTGTCACCACAAGCATTTCAATGCATAAATGTCCTGAAATTTGCAGTCACATTTCATTTTCATCAGTAACCACACACACAGCCATGTCATGTGTTTTCACAGCAAAACAAAAAGCCCTCGAGATGCTGGTGGTGTTAGGTAATTTCCAAGCCAGGCAGCTAACTAAGAACCATGACGTCACCCATTTTATTATCTTATAAGCATATTGTCGCACGCCCATGGTCTGATTTGGTTCTTTGCTAGGCCTATCAGACAGGAAAGAGCCTGTGTTTGTAGTCAGCATGTTCCTCAGTGTTCCTACTTGGGAAGACAGTGTTATCTCACTGAAGCAGATGATGTGGTGCTGAAATCAGCTCTTTTCAGTCACCAAACCTTTTCATATGCATGTTTGCTATTTAATAATTAAAAAAATACACCACAGTTCAGAAGTATGGAATCACTGTAATTATATTCGGTAATGTAAAAACCTGTTTTGTTGCAAATACATTTATAAAATGATTGCATTAAAGGAAATCAACTTTGCTTTTTTTACTAAAAGATTTTGTTGCAGTATGTAAACACTGATAAATATTTAAAATGTGCCGCTGACACCCTACTCCATACAGTCAGTATACCCAGACTACTTTCTGAATGAGGTGCAATATAGGGCATTCAGATCTGAAGTCAAGGATATTTTTCAGTGTTTAAGGCGCAGGAACTGAGGATGCTGTAGAATGTTGAGAATATGGATATACTAAAATTAACATCCATACTTAAAATGTGATAATCAGATCTCATATCAGATAACTTATCATGGATTTACTACAAATAAATAATTAAAGTATATATTTTTCTTATTTAATAGCTTCTTGATGCTCCAAAAGCTTTAAATAGTACATAAAACATCTTAAAATACCGTCTGGGAGTCTAGCTTACAGCATTTTGATATTACACTGTATAACTTATTAAACAGAAAACAGTTATTAATATAACAAGTGATTCCATGCTGTTTTTTCACCAAAATATGTACAAGTTTATGACATTGAGAAAACAAGTTAAGATACTGTGCTATATCCTGTTTTCCTGCTGCAGTTTTCATAATTTTGTTTTTGTAACTGGCAGTGTTATTTGGTCAAATTATAATCAGGCCGTGCTTCGCTAAACATGGGTAAATTGCTTTCTTTCTCTTTGCAGAATGTACAATCTAACTGAGCTTACCTGAAAAATCACCCACTCTTTTCAGTCATGATCTCAACACACGACTTGGAGCAGTTGGCAGAAATAGGTGAGTCTGTGTGTTCTCTTATTTCTTTTATTGTAAGGCTGTCACTAAAATTACTTTGACGATTACTCAAGTAACGCAAGTTTTCTGAAGACGGCAAGTGATTAAGATAGACATAGCTTAACAATAACAAACTGTGTAAAGACTTTTGTTTATCCATGAAAAGTGTTTTTAAAAGACATAAAAAACACTCTGTGTTGCTGTTAAACCTTGACCGTCAACACAGACGTCGTTTCTGTTCTACTTTAGTTTGCTTTTTCACCCTATTATGATACGAATTGACAGTCTTGGCTTGGATGCTCTCGTTGGCTGTGAGTGCAGGGAGGCTCCTGGTTTGGGGTTTGGGGCTGGGGGTTAACAGTTACTTCATTTTGTATTCTGAATCTTGTGGTTTCTTGTTTTTTTTTTTTTTCACTTGCTCATGAGCACTCAGCAGACGCATTTTTTGTTTGACCACCTCTGAATGAGGTCTGAATGATCTGTGTGTCGTGGGTGCATTTCCACCTGGCTTTTGTGCGCTCAAGTCAAGTCTAGGCCTGTCACGATCATAAAATGTTAGCTGATGATTATATGCCATACAAACAATTGCAATTAATAATGTAATTTTCTTTTTTTGTTCATTGGATATAACTGTTAAGGTACAAGTGACCATATTGGCTCATTAGCTGTCTTGCTTGCTAGCTGTTGATACTTGATATTTAGAGTCTCCCAGCTGAAAACAGAAACTATATGAGCTCAAAACAAACATTAAACAAACATTACTCACTGCTGCCCTCTAAAGGTGTGTCAACATCAGTCAGAAGTTCATAAAATCCAGCATGTGCCTCAGTTTACATTTGGCTCAACCGAGCAGATGAAAACGCATGCACTTTTTCTGCATTCTCACGCATTCTGTTTATTGCAACACAAGCAAACAGTTGTGAAAGCTTACAAATGTGGAAAATGACTGCGATCAGCTGAAATAATTGTGCTTTTTAATTGTGATTATGCCATAATTATTACAGGCCTCGTGAAATCCCTACAGCTCTCCATTCATTTCAGCTTTGGTATTGTTTTTCTCACTCCGCAGCTAACTGGATATCCATTCATTACCTCTTACTGATACTCAGATAGACTTCAGAAGTCATGTATCTTTCTGTAGTTGACATCCTGTCCATATTAGGAACTCTGAGACTAAGCTGATTTTCTCTATGACAAAAATGAATGCCGTTTTTGAAAATCTCCGCCGTGGCTCCCTGTGGTTAAGCACAATGTTCCAAAGCTGGTTAGTTTTTCCATATGCACGTTTTTCCTCTGAACATTGCCAATTTGAAGTGAAAAAATCCCCTTTCTTTCCCCAAAACGTCTGTGATGTGTGCTCATGACTCAGCTATGACCTCACTAATCTGTCTGGAAAGGGATTAGCAGTGCGAGATGCCTGCTGCGGGCCTCATTCCTGCCTGAGTCAGCTGTTGAACCGGTGCTAGGGAAGGAAGTAAACCACGTGAAGAGTTAAACCGAAAGCTGCCCCATTTCTTCTAAACCACATGCAGGATTATACATTCAGCTCCATGCCCAGCTATTTTTAGCCAGCCCATTCTCGCGAGAAGGACAGGTCACTCTTCAGATAAGGCTGACCATCCGTCTACGCTCATAATTGCATTGGTGGAGGAGATAACAGCACATTGTTAATTAAACAGACAGGGAGGCAACTGCATTCCTTCAGCTTTGAGTCAGTGTGTCCACCCCCCAAGCCTGTCAGCAACTCTGAACGTAAACATTCTCTGACCTTTTCACTGAAATACTGGGTCATATGAGTGACTGGAGAGCAGCCTAAGTCGAAAATATCTAAATATATAACATGATTCTTGTGCAAATTCCGTGGGTTTTGTCCTTTTTCAGAAGTGGGTGATCTAGTAAAAATTCATCTGTCCCCTTATTCTTTTTAATTTTGAAATCCCTCTTTGCCTGTTAGTGGAACCTTTCTTTGATTTGCCACAATGCTGCCACCTTCTCCAGTACAGTCAAAGCATACAGTACAAGTCACAGGCCTCAGGCCATGCAAAATAAACAGTAGTCCATTGAGCATTTCCTTTTCTTTCCAGATACTGCATTTATAGACTGCTTTCCACCCCACTGTCCCAAGTAAACATTGATGCACCACACAGATAACGGGCAAGTTTCCGAGGCTTTTTTAGAAGCTTTCCTCACTTTCCATTAGGGGCGGGATGTGACTAAATTTGATATTCCAGTGTTTGCAAGAGTTAGTGAACGGATATCTGGTTAACTGCGGAGAAGGACAAACACAAAACGACTTAACATAGGGCTTGAGTTGGAGGCTTATTCTTTTAGTGCTGGTGTTGAAACAAAAAAATAGTAGCACAAAAATCGACTATTGAGTAGTTAGTAGGTCTGGGCAATGTCTAAAAAATAACTGGCTCTGTATTATCTAGTTTAAAAACTAAATTATCTTGTGAAAATATAAAAGCGACATTAATTAATTGGTAAGTGTCTTTATTTTCTCTGTCTTCTTGTGATGCAGTGTAACAAACGCCTGAATCATGATTTCAGTATTCAAATACTTGCACCTTGAATGGTTAGCCAAGTACTCAAGTACCCTCGCACATCTCTAGTAGACAATATGATGATGATGATGTTATCACAATAAATTACTTCACACTGACCAACTGCATGTTTCCTTGCAAAGTAGGCATGTGCCAGTATAAACCTTTTTTTTAATCGTAATAAGAGCTGAATCTTTTGTCACGGTTTATGATGTACCAAACAACCAAAAAAGGTAATATGTAAAAGATTTGTTTTGAGTGTCATTTGCAAATAGCATTATACATTTGCTGTATTTACAGTAGTAATGAAAAACAACATTCAAAGAATGATGCTCACTATCATTCAGGACTGTTTGTAGTTAGGAATAAGTTAGAACCCTGTAACAGACGATTCGGTATCTTTTTTTTAACTGCTTTACAGTAAATACTTAAACTAAAAGCCTTAACTCTGAACATCACTGGCTTCACTTATTAGCCTATTAGCAGTCTGTAGAGCTGCTTGTGAAACAAAACCAGGTCCTTCATTACATTTTACTTCATGCACAGGCAGTTTGTGACTGCAAACAAGCCGGGATTTGTGAAATGTATATGAGAGCTTTTATTTTCTTTTTCCAAGCCAGGTGGGATGTTACTTTTCACCTCATTTAGAGAGAAAATGTTCTTTGTGTGCTCGTCATTCTGTTATGATGTGTCTGTGCTTGTTGTGATTGTTTGCAAACTCTGCTCAGAGGAGGGACTGTATCACATGATCAGAGAGTGAAAGCGTTATGGGATCTGGTGAAAGCAAAGCTGATCAGCACACATAAAAAATCTCTGGTGAAACTGAAACTTGTTTGCAACATACCCATTACAAAGAGAGAATAATTAGTTCTGTTTGGCTTTAGTGTAGCACAATATGTGAAACACTGAATACAAACCATCATACTTAGCAGTGGGCAATGTGAAATTTTGTCATCATGATCATTTTTGTTAGGATATACAATATGCGTTCCTCTGTATATTGCAGACGTCATGAGTATTTAAAGAGCACTGACCAACTGCATTCTTCACTACAAAGCGAGTATAAGAAGTCCTGTTTAGTTGGACTTGCAGCACAGTTTGTGAAATGTTGAATAGCAATCTTTGTTAAGGCCAGGTGAACTCGCTAATCTGGGTTACATAGTATGTGATCAGAAAGTAAAATTTGCTTTAAAAAAAAATAGGTTTCCCTTAATGTAAAAACTAATAAGTATACACTGACTCATATTATTTGTTAAAACAATTTCTTTTTAGTATTTATATGTGAATATGTTTAAATGTAGATCCTTTTTAATAAATAAGCTTTATTTTGGCTATATTTTTTGGCTTCACACTTTCATCTTTACTTTAGCTCCATACTTTTACCTTTTGAAACTGAAGTTTTCATACAGTGCCCATACTTTCACTTAGCTACAGTTCCTTCTTCTTCCACCCCTGATGATAATGAGTCATTTTGTCATCATTAGAAGTGGTGATTTCAGAAGAAACTGAAAAGGATTACAACAATGAATCATAAATGTTGGTTCTTTGAAATGAAAGCAGCTTCATTGGAAACAATAGACGTAATACTGCTCTAATTTGAAATCCGAGTGAAGACCCAAATTAGTCTTAGTGTTTGTCAGGAAAATTAGTTCATGAAGTCATGACAACGTTAGGCAGGGTAGAATTTGGTGAATGAGTAAATCAGAAAGTGACATTGCCCTCAAACACATTTGAAAAGAATGTTACTCATCTTGATTTATGTGACTCATCTTGGTTTGACCAGACAGACCTAAAAATATCTCTAACGAGTGTTGTCTGTGATGGTATTACAAGATAATTCTGAAGCGCTTTATTTTTTTTGCTATTTTAAGAGTTACAGAAGGAAGAAGAGGAGGAGGAGCAGGGGAGTTCGGGAGGATACCCTCTAGCGCCATCCAGTGGCAATGCTTGTCAGGACATGTCACATCCTTATTATGATGTTGCACGACACGGGATTCTCCAAGTTACAGGTAACAGTCTGACTTACTTATGTTTATTCACATTCTGCCCACTCAGCATTCACATATGCGCATACATATTAGAAATGTAAGCAGTTTCCTCTGCATATCCATGCTCCCATCCTTTCTGCTCTCAGGCAGGAATTTGTTAAATGTCATTGTTTCCTTTCCCAGTAATGCTCAGGTGAAACAGGCTTTTCTGGTTTAGTCAGCCTTGGGCATTACTGTGGCAGCTCTGACTGAATTGCATCAGCAATTGTATTTTTTTTTTTTAAATGTAAGTTTCACTGAGTGAGGAAACTTTATGATACTTAAAGCAAAGGTGGAAGAGACTGGAGTTCTGTTTTCTTCCTGCTGACCATTAGGTGCGGTATGAAACACAGTGGATACTAATCGTGACTGTCCATTACTACCAGCTCATGTTGCTAATGCTGGTTTTTCCAGACTATCACTTCTGCCCACAGTATAACTGCTGGCAGCTGTCACTGAGTTTCTGGATTGGAGCAATTCAGAGCTATTGAAGAGATGATAAACGCACCCACATAGCCTTGGACTTAGTAATGGGTAGTATCGCCAAAAATCTATATCACCGTATAATTAAGGTTAACAATAGTTTGGGTGCATATATCACTGTGTAGTGCATTTCTGTATATATGTTTTTCAAATAAAATCTTTTGAAACAACTAGTATGGCAGGGTTCTTTGAAATGTATACTGACACCTATCTGCATTTTTCTTTTTTTTTTTCTTTTTTTTATATATTGCAAATTTTGCACAGCCTCATGTTATGTACTACCCACTTCCCTGTCATTTCTGCTTGTAAAGAGTAATGATAATGCTCCATGATCTTTTTTTCCATTCAGTATTCGGCAAGACGCAACTCTTCTGTCAGCTAATGCAGTGAATAATCTATGACAAAGTGACCAGCATAGCCTAAGCAGCTTTAACCAATGAGCACACAAATCTTTTTCTTCTATGGCAAGTTTGCCCAACTGTTGTCACATGATCTAAACATGGCAATGCCCATGTGTGGACCTATGGTTAATTATGTAACATGGTTCATACATGATACATGAGCTCTTCCCTCCGGTGGAGAGTGAAATGGATGAGCTTGTCCAGAAGAAGGGTGCCAAAATGTCAGTTTGACAATATTTTGCTTGGTTTCCAAGCAAACTAATGCAGAGAATCACTGTATATAAAGTGGTACATGCCATCTGTGCAGAATATCATTGTCATTAAAAATTATTAAGTAACATTACAGGTAGCTGTGTGGTAATTATATTACCAATAGAGAAGATGAGAGCTATAGGGTCGGCCTGCAATGCTCGCATGTGTTACTGAATTGGCATTTTCATTTAGTCTATATTATTATTGAAGCTTACACCCATGTGTCAGCATCAGAAATACATGTTGTATCCAATAATGAGCAGAAAATATACATTCTTGTTGAAACAAAGAAAAATTGTTGTGTTCATTTATAAGAAAATTGTCTAATTGGCTTTTTTTCTGCACCCTCACCACTATTATGTCTCTTTTCCTTTGTGTTGTATCTCTTGGTATTTTGCAGCTGGTTTTAGTAGCATCTGCTGCTAAGTTAGCTTGTGATGTAGCCCCAAGAGCGCTGCAGTTATGACATGCTGTATCACTTTTAATGTGTGGAAACCCAATCATATATTGAGAAATGTTTTTAACTGATTTCTGAGCTTCCTCTTAGTAAATATTTAATTTCTTATCAGTACTTGGCTGGTTTAACTATTAAAAATAACTTCTACTATTGGCAAAGTCATCTGCTGCAGTTAGGCCTTCAGTGAGTGAGCTGACAGAGCTTACAAGAAAATTCTCAATGTCTTTCTGGTTTTTAGGGGATGACAAATATGGCAGAAAGCTGATTATTTTCAGCAGCTGCTGCATGCCCCCATCACATCAGCTCAATCACCACAGGCTTCTAGAGTAAGTATAATAAAGTTTTCTTAACTTTGCTATTCAGATTAAATGGAAATTCTGACATTTTGTTTTTATTTCTGCATAATTCAGTGCTTAATATGTAAACAAAGTCATTCATAGTGTTTTGATGTAAATTGTGCCGTTCTAGAGAAATTCACCAAGTCAGAATTGTTCACAGTGGTGGTGACGGGAACCAGACGGTGCGAGTGATGATTGCCACTAAAAGTTAGATAACCAGATGTTATTACATGCAATGGTTACGAATACGCTGCCAAAGTTGACTTGAGACATTGTTTCACAGAAGGTTTGAGATAAGGTTTTGTCCTAAAACTTGGTTTTTTTTTTAAGTCTTTTCATGATGGAGAGGTACATGCAGGTAAGACAAAATATTCCCCAAAGGAAGCTGTTCAGATTTACTACATAAACATTACATACAGATGCTCAAAAATGCATAAGTTCACTGTGAAGGTTTGTTGTGGAGGGTAAATAAAATGGTTAGATTTGTGTTGTAGACTTTGCAACCTCAAGTTCCTGTCACCAACATTGTAAAGATATGATTAATCACAAAAATTTCTATACAATTTCAATTCGTACCACTCTGAATGACTTTGTTTTACAATCTCAATGATTGAATTATGCAGACATTTTGTAGATGAGTGGAATTCCCCTTTAAGAACCTTTATGATGCATGATGTTTTCGGTTCTGTTTAGCCTGCTTCTCTGTCTTTTAGGTATCTGAAGTACACATTGGACCAGTATGTTGAAAGTGATTACACGGTGGTCTACTTTCACTACGGTTTACGCAGCAGCAACAAACCTTCTTTACGCTGGCTCCGAGATGCCTATCGGGAATTTGACAGAAAGTACGTCACTCACACATCCTCCAACCCTCCTTTTACTGTGACTAACTCATCCCCAGTGGTCTAGCGTCTCTCTTGCAATGTACCGTCTTTTCTGTAAAAGCCGGCCAACTTCAGACAGCATATCTGAGCCCCTGTTCAATAATTTAGTTCTCTTAATGAGGCAAATTACTCTAGAGTAAATTTCGGAGCATGAAATGAACTGTGAAGCTGCTCTCTTCGGAAGCACTTGGCTAGAAGGGACCTCATTTGGTACTTCCCTGTTCAAATCTTGGTTTCAGTTATTTGCATTGATGAATTTTTTATGTTATGCTTAACTTGGTTGTCTTTGTGTCTTTCTATGACAGATATAAGAAGAATCTTAAAGCCCTCTACGTTGTCCACCCCACAAACTTCATCCGGGTTATATGGAACATATTCAAACCTCTCATAAGGTAGACACAGATCTTTCTTATTTATCTTTCTGTCACAGGCCTGTCACCAAGGATAGACATTGGCTAGTGCTCAGTGCTCTTGGCCACTGCATTTCAAAAATGCTGAGCCTGTGGCTTGAGCCTTTGAAGATTTTTAGCAATCTTTTTCCCTTTTAACAAACCGGTTTGGTTGGACGCAAAACCAGTTGCATGAATTTTTTTTCTCGGATTTCATTAACTGTATCCACTGTAATAACTAATGTGAGGGTGTGGTGACCATGGTGGTCCCCCCTACTAAGCTAGTCTGCCTGACGTTATAGATGCTGTTTCATTGGCTAAGGTTTGCTATTAAATAAGGTCCTAAAGGGCCCAAAGAACAGATTTTTCTTTTATTTCATTCCCTGAAGTTCACTTATAAAGCATTTATAGTTTTGTTTACTAAGTCAGTAATAATTTATTTTGATCATTTTGACACATGACCCTTTTCGAACTTCTCATCTCTTAGAATCAAACAGGCTGTTTTTCTTTCAGTGCCTTCAAGATGGATATATGTAAAAGACCAGTGTTTTGTTCTGATTTGCAGCTGTGTATTGTGCATCATTCAGACTGAAACACTCTTTATAAAACCCTCAGTATTAAAGGGTCGAGCTCAACTGCTATTGGATGAATAACAGGATATATGTAAATTCTTTGGTTTTGTGACATGGAAACTGTGAATTCAATAGGAGCTGTTTTATGCAGCTTAGTTTCTTTATATAAACTGTTTGGACTAGGGGATTGGTACATTTGGAAATTTTACATGCTGAAAGTTTTGTTTACATAGTATATTGTTTTATTTGAAAACAATGAGTTAAATTCAGTTGTGCAAGATATGGACCTTTTTAAGCATAAGACAGCATTAAAAAAAGTTGACATTACATTGAAAGGCTACCTCTACAGTTGCTAAACAGTACCTAAAGACATGACCTAGATCAGATGACCTCAGGGTGGACCAGATTGGCAGGGCGGAACCACTACGGTCACCACAATGGCAGTGTTATTAAAACCTTTACAATAATAATAAGTAAAATAATAATAAAGAAACACCTGATTGTTTACTGGTACTGAAACATATATAACCATTGTAAATATGTTTCTAATATTGTGGCAATAAATTCTTAATTTTGGCTGCAAGATTCATTGACTCAGGGGCCCGAGTGGCCAATACAAATTGTTGTATCTGTTTATCCCCATTTGTCATGATCATGAAGTTTTACCTGCAAATTCAGTGCCAAATGTCTTTTTTTTTTCTTAATTGTGTACAAATTTTAATGTACAAGCCCAAAGTGGCCAAATTGTCTGATTTGAAATCTCACTTACAAGCTGTCAATACTTAGTAGCTTCCAACTGATGACAGAAACAGCATGAGCTCAAATAACATTACTCACTGCTGCCCTTTGTAGGTGTTGTAGCACCTGAGGAGTTTGAACTTTTGAGGCTTTTTTTAAAGACCTGAAACACGTCACAATAAAACTGTTTTCTGGTTCCTTTTATAACACAAATTTTCCCTAACCCTGCTAATAAAAACGCACCCCATTAAATTCTGTGTGTTGCTATGTATATATAGGATTGGTAAAGCTAACAAATGTGGAAAATAATTGTGATTAGGCGATTGTGTAATAATTGCGCTAGGTTCTCGCTGTAAAAGTAGCCGTTGCCTTGCATTTACATATCTGTATTTTCTTCCACCCAGCCACAAGTTTGGCAAGAAGCTAACCTATGTGAACTATCTGGGAGAGCTAAGGGAACACCTCAACTATGATCAGCTCATCATCCCACCAGCTGTATCAAGGTTGGAGTTTGTCCATTCTTAATATGTTTGTTCTCTTTTTTATGATCTGGATTTTGGTGTTAGACTCCAGAGAATCACAGTATTACACTAAATGTTGTATATTGTATTGTATATTGTTTGCTGTGTGTAAGTACACCTCCTTGTATCGGCACTCACTGTCCAATTTATCAGCTCCACTTACCACGTAGGTGCATACTTTGTTAGCCACCTTTTACTTTGTTCTTCAATGATTATGACCACCACAGAACAGGTAATCTTTGGGTGGTGGATCATTCTTAGCACTGCAGTGACACTAACACGGTGGTGGTGTGTTAGCGTGTGTTGCGCTGGTATGCTATTAAACACACCTACCTTGTTGGTCCACCTCGTAGATGTAGAGACAGAGATGATAGCTCATCTGTTGTTGCACAGTTTGTGTTGGTCATACTCCTAGTCCTTTGTCAGTGGTCATAGGACGCTGCCCTCAGCGCTGCAGTGCTGAGATTGATCTACCACCCAAATAATACCTGCTTTGCTGTGGTCTTGTGAGGGTCCAGAGCATTAAAGAACAGGGTGAAAGGGGGCTGACAAAGTATGCAGAGAAACTGATGGGCTACAGTGTGTAATCAGCATTTTTCACTGCATAGAGAATTACAAGGTGGGCCAACTCCATCAAATTTCACGTTGCCTCTAGCTCTTAGCAAAACTTTGACAGGTGTCCTTATGGAAAGTGGATTTAATTTATTTGTAAGTGCAGTTGTGGGATTACACCATGTGGTGGCGCTGTGTCGTAATCAGCACAGTGCAGCGGGAAAGGCGCTGCCAAAACTGGAGCAGCAGTAAAAGCATGCCTGTAACTAGCTGTGAGAATACCAAGGTCCTACCGAGGTAGGCGAGACTATACAATCAACAGTGACTGGTTCTCAGTTGACCTCAGAGCAGCGGTGGTTCGGCTGTGAACTGAACTGCCCGCTGTGTTTATCTCTGTACGAGACACCACACTAATGCCACCCAGAGCAACTTTGACTTGAGATGTAATGTTACAGATATGCTGCAAACATTCTGTAGACCAATATACAACATAGCTATGACAAAAGGTCAGAGTTTATGAAGGCAATTATTATTACCAAAGGTTATGGTTGCAGAGTGTAACCCCCCTGACACTTTTTTTTGGAACCACTAGTAACATTGCATGTAATCAGCATGTTCACTGTTAACTACTATACTGATAGCACAGTATTGTGTAACGTAATTTAGAAATCAGCAGATACATTTGGCTGTATTTTGTGAGGTATTTCCTTCCCATTTGCTGGGGTTTGGTAGAGACAGACTTTTGTGAAGTTTTTAATGTATGCCTAATTTGTGAGGATAGTGAAGAAAGAAATGAAATACAATCAATGTAACTATCAACTGATTTGGTGTGTGTATATGTGTGATTTAGTTAAAAAATCTAAAGGAAAACTGACAATGTTGTAATACACATTTGGTAGTTAGTTTAATCGCTGTGTGGTGTCGTCACTTTTCTACAAAATGCACTTCACTAAAATTGTTATACTAGTTACAGCTCTGAGTAGCACTTTTACGAAAGCTTTACTTCATAAGTTCCGAAAAACATAAAAAAAAAAAACGTATACTTGTTTAAAAAAAATAATGACTTTGTTATATAATTACTAGAATATCTAAAATACTTCACTTGTAAAAAAAAAAAAGTGTTTGCTTGAGCCAATTGAAGGCACAGTTCACATGCATGTATGTGTATGATTAGGATGTTACCACCTCTGCCTCATTTTGAGCCAGGAAAAGCTCTGGTAATTGTAGCTACAAAGTGCATCTGTTTGTTAAGTGGGGCTGATAAAATGCAGTGTGTAGATACAAGGAGGTGTTCTTAACGAAGTGGCCTGTCAGTGTATGTGCTAGTTGTGGTTTGTGGTGACAGACAAAATTGCTAATAGACATTGGCTAGGATGCGCTTAAATGATTGTATATGTTTTGAAGTTAAAACTAATAATTTGGAAGAAATATGGGCCACTTTTTTCTCTAATTTAGTTCGAGGTTTAAGGTGACTATTAAATAATATTTCCCAACAAGACCCCCTTGAGACCACTGGCTTAGTGGGAATGGGAAAATTCTTAAAATGGAATTGTTCTTCAGAGTTTGTCATGGAGATGTACCTCTTCCACTAACACAACCCTCAATTTGTCTCTAATGCAAATTGAAGTTTCCGCTCATTCACTTTCAATCCAAACCATGCGATTAAATTTAAAAATGCAGTAAAATACATTCTGCAAATGAATAACTGTTTTTTCTGCACAATTTGGGGGAATTATCCTGACTAATATTGCAATTTAAATGTGACTACTTTCTGTAAATCAAGCTCCAGGCCTATTTTTCCAAGAAAACCAGTACATCTTTTCTTCTGCTTGAGGCAAGAATACTGAATGCAGTGTTCTAGGCTGCCAGTACACAAACCTTGTGTTATTTATTTTTGCTTAGTTATTAAGTTATTTGTTGTGACAGTAGCCATTACTGCCTCACACACTTTAACCACAGTACTGGGTGTGAGAACAGTCCTTATGTTTAATGCGTTTTTACAGACTTGTGGTTCAGTGGATGGAGTAGGATGAGCATGTTCTATGGTTGGCTGTTTACTCTAATGGTTAAGTTATTGATCTCTTACATGTGAGAGCAGGGTTCAATTCCAGCGCAGAGAAGCACTCGTTAGGCTTTGTGGTGCTGCGTCTGTGAGGTTATTTGATCTTTGCTGTTATCATCTCTCTAATAATGTGTTTATCGCAGAAAATCATATCGCAATGATGATACGATTTATTGTACAGCCCTAGTGTTATCAGGTTAAACTTTCACACTTAAAACATGTTAAGACAATATTGAATAATGTGGCATGTCATTGAAATTGCATTTCTTTCAAATTGTGATATCAATATAAAAATGATTCATTCAACCCTGTTTTAAAAGTGCATTTGTTATAACATGCAGTGATTTACAGTTGAAAAATACTTATATTTGGATTGAAAACTACACTGCACATCAGTTAGGATAGTCAAAGCAAGATGATGTGTAGCAAGCAGCAGAGCTGTGGGGTGATGGTAGAAGCACACTTTGGTTATTGTTATTCAAATGATTATAAAAAAGTTGAACTTCTGTTTTAAGCCTTGTAGAAGACCAGAACACTTACTCAGTAGTCTCTTTAGGTTTTTAAAGAGTTTAATGAATTCCATTAAATTGTGTGTTATGATGTTATAAAAAATTGCAGTGTCCTGTGGCTCTGCCTGGAAAGCTGCTACTGCAGTACAATCACACAAGCCTTTTTTTTGTGTTGTGTTTAGCTTAAAAGTCTTATCGACACCTGCGTCCTGCGTCCTTGCAGGTTTAAGTTAATGCTTAGCCAAATATTAAGGCTGTGAGGTTCAGTATCCATGGTAACTGTCTCTGATCAGGCATGACGAAGAGCTCCGGGCGGCTCAGAAAGGTGGACCGCCCCCTCCAGTGAAGATCCCACCCCCACGACCCCCTCTGCCCACACAGCAGTTTGGAGTGAGCTTACAGTAGTGAGTGGACTGATTAATTATTCATTTCCAGCATTATTGAGATCTCATAGATCTCAAGTAATATTGACCCTCTGTTCATGTTCATTGAGTTATTAAAGTCTATTACATTTTTTTAATGTGTTTCTTTTCATGATCAGTTGTTACACAAATTTATGTGCCTGTGCTTTAGCAAACTGAATCTGTTATAATTGTTTATTATATGTCAAGTTATTCTTGGTTGTTACAGTGAGTTAAATATGGTTTTAAAATATGTCTGTTTCAGCATTCGGGAGAAAAACAATGGTGCATTGATACCTCCTGTGATGTGTCAAACTGTGTCGTACCTCAAACGAAAAGGTAACAGAATTTTTAGCATCTTGTCAAGATCAACAGAAATAACAGTGATTTGAACTGATATGTTTATGAGGCTGGTGTTTTGCTGATTTGCTTTCACATAAAAATATCCAGCATTTTTCTCCAAGAAACTGGCATCAAAGGCAAGCACAGTGTTTATGTACACTTAAGACATTGTTCACCCTTTGTTCACACTGGGTCAATTCTGATTTTGCCCCACAATACAATACATTTTTAATGCAGAGGTAAAAAAGAAATGCCAGTATTCACTTTGTTTTTATTTTTATTTTGTCAAAGTCCAGTTGCCACAATCCCTGATGAAAGGACAATCACCGCAGTTATTTTTATAGAGGGGAAAAAAGCCTGTTCCCACCCAGTCCATCTTTTATGGACCAAAAAAATTGCATCAAGTTTTAAAAAGGAACACATGCATATTAATGCTGTCTTTCACATTGCGTCAAAAATTGATGGCCTGCGACGCTGTCAAATTTTTAATTGAAGATAGTTTGATTTTCTGTCTTGTACGAATACGTTAAAAATCAGGCTGATCAGTCAGAGCTCCATTGTCATGGTTGCAGTCCCAACTAATGTGCATCACGATGGGGGCAGAAGAAGAGCTCATCTTGCTTGTGCCGTAGCACAAAAGCTCATATGAAAAGCAACACATTGACTTTAAAAATGCGGAGGTTAAATTGAATATATAGTGAATCATAGCTAAAAGACTGAGCAGTGACTGTGAGTACCTTAGTACAAGATAGTGACTGTCTTTAGACATTTTAGGTGTTCTGTTGGCTGTGTCGTATCCTAGTCTGTTCATGTCCGGTCTATGCGCCTTTTTAGTTTTAAAAAATAATAATTAATCAGCGCTGCTATTCAGGGTTATTTGTTCTTTGTCTTTGTTTAGAAAATGCGTGGGACATGGTGTTATGGTTCCACTACAATGAAAATCACATCTGTTTTTTTTTTCACCTGACAGAAATCACACTTGTGAATTTGGTTGTGTTACAGGGGATTTTTTTTCTTGCTTTACTGGTTGTATCTTCCTTTCTAATAAATCAGTAGAAAATAGTGTAATTTACACTACCAATCAAGGGTTTGCACACACCTACTCAGATATCCTTGGTCTTGATGCAGTTTCACACTCTTCTGATCATTCTCTTAAGTAGCTTCATGAAGAATCTGAAAAAGAATTTAAGGGAAACATTCAATTGTTCAGTGACTTTCTATTGAAATGTATTGAATATGGTAATATGTCTTGTACAAAGACATATTGTGTTGATATGCATATTGTGACATGCTGCTAGTCAAAATGAGACCTGATGAGGACACGTTTGACAATATGAGGCTTCCTCTGTCTCTCTTTCTCTTTTCCTCCCCCAGGGTTGAAAACAGAGGGAATCTTCAGAAGGTCAGCGCGAGTGCAGCTTATCAAGGACATCCAGAAACTTTATAACCAAGGTGAGCTTTTCTCTCTCTTTCTCTTTCCTCCCCATGTCTCCTTCCCTCCCTCCCTGGAGTACAGCAGCCCCAGTGGCAGTCTTTATATCTCCCACTACCAGGAAAAGTAGATCAATAAAACTCTGAGTCTCCTCCGATGACTCTGATGGCTTCACAGGCGGCGTGTCGCCTGTATGGCTCCCCATTAAGATAGTGTCCATTTCAACTTTCCACTTCATTAACTCCTCCAGTTACTTCTGGAGATCAAACGATCCAGTCAAAGCACTGAGTTCTGTTGACACAGTTCGCATCTTTGAGGTCGCGAATATATTTCACACTGTTCTGGAGACACTTTACTTGAATTGTGCTTAAGCCTTAGTAGTCGCAGTCTTCCCCAGTCGTAATAGAGGCATGGTGTAATTCAGTAGTAATTATTGCTCACTTGTAGCTCATTGAAACAAGCAGAGAAACTCTGTGGGAAATGTAGATTCTATACTTTTAGCTAGTACTGCATTTGTGTTTGTTAGTAGAAAAGATATTTTATTATTATTTCAAATAGATGAAAAGTTGTTGTTAAGTCTACAGTCATGTTTTGCAGAAAGAAAAAGCATCCACCGTGGTCTGATGCCAATGTCTGATGTTTTTTATGTACATACAAAAACATATTAAAGAATGTTAAATGACTAAAATAATTGTAATTAATCATATTCTTTTGTGTAGGTAATCACTATTTAATCACATTTCTTCTCACTCAATTATTCACCTAAAGAGAGATTTTTTCGATTAAAAAAAGCGTTATGTTTTGTTACAGATATATGAGTGGCCAAAATAAGCTTCGGCAGTATTTATTTCTTTCAGCAATTCAGTATTATTTTTGAGCATGTGAACTGTTGGTTAGCATGAACGGAACATGAAACTTACTTGAAGATCAGTAAACGTGGCAATAGGGTGAACAGCTTTTCATCACTGACATCCAGTGAGAGCAACAGTGGCTAGATGATCTTCTAACTCCTCTGCAATTGTAGCCTCTCGCTCTTATACTGCTGCATTACATGTTGTTTCGAGAAGAACTGTAGCCTTTCACTTTGGTTTTGCTTTTGTTAGTTTCTCTCCTGCAAGAAAATGACACTTCAGATTCAATTTACGTCAGTTATAAACAAATTTATGGCAAAAAAAAACAAAACGTGGCACACCAGCAGCTTGGCTTCAGGCTGGAACTGTGGATGGTTAGAACAGTCAAACAGTGTTATGAATGTTATGAGTTAAATAATTGATTGAGTAAAATATGTGATTCACACAGTTCTGAGAAGGCAGCAGCTTGGAATTTTGGGTCATTTGTCTACAATAAAATTGTATAAATTCATAAGTATTTCATGGTTACATGCATTTTGAATATTGTTATCTTTTATTATTAAAACAGAGTTTTAAACATTTGAAACCATGTTGACAGGGACTTCAAGGATAACCAAAATGGTGCTAAAGGTGTTTTTCTCAAACAAATATAATTTGGTTGAAGTGTCTGAATTCTTTTTGAGGCCGCTCAATCTGGAGCTGAAGATGCTGATATGTAAACATTTATGAAATGTAGAAATTGGGAATACATCTACCTGGATTAGCATTACAGATTTTTTTTTATTTATTTCTGTAGGTAAATTTTCTGCATAAAAATGAATAAAATGTAGATATTTTAGCACAGTAGCCCAGCATTGCCTTAATGCTCTTAATGCTCTTCTGAAGTACAATAAATACCTAATTGAGTATCAGTATAAAAGATCTATCTATTCTGCATCCCTACTTTTTGCCACATATTTGTCATTTCTTGACGTCAGAACAAATGAAATAAATAGTAATCATAAGTCAGTAATGGAGTAGTTGGAAGTGTAGACCTGTTGTAAATGTAATTCATTGTATAATACACCGTGTAATTAAATATGTAATTACATAATTGACTTTGAATGGTATAACAAAACAAACTTTTCTTCTTCTGTGAATGAGCCTTGATGTTCATGACCCCTGCACAGATGCTGTTTTCTGTTAAATGCATAATTCTCACCTAATGCTCTATATTGACTAAAGTATTGGGACACCTACTCATTACATCTGCAGGAGCTTTTGACATTCTAAATCCATAGGCATTAATATAGAGTTGTTCCCCTTTTGCAGCAATAACAGCTTCCACACTTCTGGGAAGCTTTCTGCAAGATTTTTGAGTGTGTCTGTGGGAATTTTTCCCCATTCATCCAGAAGAGCATTTGTGAGGTCAGACATTGATGTTGGACAAGAGGGCCTGGCTCACAATCTCTATTCTAGTTCATCCCAAAGGTGTTTGATGGGTTTGAGGTCAGGGCTCTGTGAGGGCCAGTCAAGTTCTTCCACACCAAACTCACCACATCTAGGTGGGAAGAAATTTTGCAAACTGACTTGTATTCTATTACAGCACCACGCTCGAATTTAGTAAGCTCTTTAGATTGACCCATTCTTTCACAAATGTTTGTAAAGGCAGACTGCAGGGCTAGGTGCTTGATATTATACACCTGTGGCAATGTGACTGAATGAAACACTTGCATTCAGTGATTAAGAGGTGCGTCCCGATGCTTTTTGTCTATATAGTGTAGCTGTTTGTGCTGTTTAATTTCACTGTTAAATGGTACATCCAAGATTTTAATCCCAGAGGAGAGCTGCAGCAGTTAGCGGTGTTGTTTTTCTCACGCTTGCTCTTTCACTCACTCAAACTTTCTCTTTTACTGTGAGTGCTTTTGTCCATTTGAACACTACCATTGTTGAAACATCTCTTTTGTTTACTGACAGAAGCCATCCTTCATTGTTGGTGCACAGTAGCCTCGAGGCTTGTGTTTAGTCACTGTTACCATGCTTTAATGATATATTTTCAGCCTGTTACCATGTTTTAGGATTTGCATATGGTAAGCAAATGAAGAGAGATAAAAAATTAATTAATAATTTCTTCACCAGGCCTAAGAAAGATTGTATTTAAATCTGATTGTCTCTTTAAACAGAATGCAATAAATAGAAAGAGGGTTGAACAAGATAGATGCTTTTAGAGTGCCTGTGAAATAATTTCTAGTTTCTGCAATCGTATTCCAAAACTTGAGCACCCCTGGTCAAATGACGTTTTTTTGAGTTGTGAAAATAAGTTAACACATCGTCTACAAGGAACAAATGTAAATATTTTTCTGCAAACTTCCATGCAGTTTGAAAAAAAAGTTGGCATACAGCTGTATGCATTAATGCATTGATGCAATATACTGGATCAGTATAAGAACTGAGACTGGCCTTGTTAAACAGATTGGATATCAGTCAGACAGTGCTGGATTTCTTATTCATGGTTGTTTATAATTGTAATAGTGCAATTTCAAAAAAAAACTTTGAAGTTCTTAAAAACCTTCTGTGACCATCTCCTCTATGGTACATTAGGCGTAGCTACAGGGAGGACTAGCCAGACTCTCCCCCGATTTCTGGCTGCTCAAAACAAAAGAAGTCCTCCTGTGGCAATGAAAATGTTCTTGTAATACACAATGGGTTCTTGCTTCCTTGAGCCTTGAATAAGTAAAAATGACCAGCAAAAATTTCCTTTGATCATCACTGATTTTTAGCAGCTTCAGTCTCCATGGCAATGTTTACACATCTGTATGCCACCATCGGTCGCATGCTACTACTGTTCAGCAATTCTGCAGTAAGGCGCAGAACATTGTACCCCGCCATGGCAACACGTTAACCTGCGCTACTGCTTCTGCAGTTTGTGAGAACTTAGCTGGCCTGTGTTCGTTTTTAGCCTAGGCTACTTACCAAGCTATAGTGAGCTAGGTAAGTAGTGATGACTGAGGGGGGAAAAAAACATGAGTACTGTGGAAAAAGATAGGAAAATCACAGCCACTAAATGTTTACCTCTAGTGCTGCAAAAAGTTGAACTCTGGTTAATTAATCTTTACGCTGCAGTGATGTGTATTAATTCACTTTTTTTCTGTCTGGTTATGGTAACGTCAGTGAAAGAGGCTAATTGGTGGTTGTCAGTCACACTATTCTGATGTCCTGCCTAAAAATGAAATTTTAGCTGCTTTAAAACACAAGTGCCTTAACTGTAACAGCACTTGTATCAGATCAGTACTCAGTGTTGGCCGATACAGAGTTCAGCCCTCAGGTTCTGCCCTGTGATGTTTAGGGATAGTAAGATGTTATTAAAAATCTCTCTCTCTCTCTCTTTCTCTCTCTCTCTCTCTCTCTCACTCTCACACTCTCGCTGTCTCGCCTCAGGGAAGCCGGTTAGCTTTGAGCAGTACTCTGATGTGCATGTTCCTGCTGTGATCTTGAAGATGTTTCTCCGGGAGCTCCCAGAGCCACTGCTCACCTTCACTTTATATGACCAGATACAAGATTTCACCAGTAAGTTTACATCCTTACAGCACCACACTGTGAAACTGCCACTATATTTTACTCTGTTGTTTATTGTTATATATACAGGATATATCCAGTATTGATGTCACACAGAAGTAATCATTTTGTTCTACTCTAATAAATAACAGTGTCCCTGTTAACCAATAAGTAATGTTTTATTTGATATACTTTTCTTTTTTTTCTTTTTTAAGTATTGTGCCTCATTTAAAAAGCACCCAGAGCTGAAACACTTCTTGGAACTTCGGTATGAATGAGTGGGGCTAAACTGCTGTAGGCTGAATAGATGGACTGTATAGACTGGGCAGTAAATTATGCATTTTGAAATTTTAACGATGTTTACATTGTTTTCAAAGACCTTAATTTCAGAAAGCAAGGAAAAATCAGTTTTCCATAATTTGGACCATGTAAGAGAAGAGATGTCAGATTTGTATTACCTTAAAGGCATAAAACACAAACCTGTTTATCCTTTGATACCATGATGTATTGTGATACTGGATTTGATCAGTACTGCCTTGAACTAGCAGAGACGTGTGCTTTATTGGTGATATGTATTACACAAGGAGCTAGTAACATGCTGTGTCTCTGCTCAAAGAACAGTGAACTACTTCTTAAATGAAAGATCGGTAGTCAGCATTCTGTCAGTAACCCCAGTCTGTCAGTCTGTTACAGTTCTCCCAAAGCCAGTCTGTTTATCCACTATCAATAATGCATTAACCCACTGAATAGCAGATCTATGGGATGTGACATAGACAACTAGCTGAAGATTAGTGGCAGATAAGTTTTGTCCCCTCTTGAGGAACCGACAACACTGTAGGCTTATTTAACACTTTAATAATAATAATACTTTAACCTTTGGTATTTTCTGAATAGTGTGGTAAATTATTTATTGAGGAGAATTATTTATTTTAAGGAAATTTTGGCCTCAGTAAAAGATCACTGTCTTTTTTCACAGAGGTGGAGAGCAGCCTGAGGGTTTTGAGGTGCAAGAGGATTGTGGAGTCCCTTCCAGAGCACAACTTCATTGTCGTCAAGTACCTCATCTGCTTCCTGCATATGGTAAGGGGATTGGGTATTTGCATGACAGTTTTGGCTGCAACTAGTGACTCCTGAACAGTGTTTCTCCTGGTTATCTGTGCACACCTAATCATGATAAGCTGTTTATCCATAGTATAATAATAAATTGCACATCCATTCTAATAGGGCTGCACTATATCATTTGTTAAATGTTTTTTGATTTTGGCCTTTGCAGTACTAGTATAGCAGAAAGCTGCATTATGCAAATGAGACATAAACAAATTACAAATATTTTGTTGTTTATTAACAGCCTGACCAACTTCAGGTGTTCAGCACTGTGTAAAATTTGTTTAATTTCCAGGCAAAATTGCCATAAAGTACAAGTGATTCTTTTTTCGTATATATCTTGAGGAGATTAGATCCTCTTGATTAAGGATGTAAAAAGTCAAAGGAAAATAAGAAAGGTGTTTCCCAATTTGGAGCTATGGAAATAAATATATATATATATGTGTGTGTGTGTGTGTGTGTGTATATATGTGTGTGTGTGTATATATATATATATATATATATATATATATATATATATATATATATATATATATATATATATATATATAATCAGATAAACAGTACTTGAAGCTTTCATTTTGACGGAGATCAAGAAACTCTCCGCTCCGGCTTCACATCTGAAAATATCCGCAGGTGTTTCTGTCCATCTTTCCACTGTGAGAAGACAACTCAACACTACGAGTCTGAAAAGATGTGTAGCTGTCAAGAAATTATTACAGAGAAAATAAAATAGACAAACAAAAGTTTTAAATTGGTCCCTTTGTAAATGTATGCAGCACTTTTGTCACTCCAAACCTTTAACTACAGTATACGATGTAGAGTAAGTCATTGTTTTAAATTGTTTACACTAAGAAGCATTATGTTTTTGTTGAAGATGCTTTTTTTAATGTGACGTTCTTGGCCCCTTATTAGTTATGACAGGTACAATCATGACAATGACAGGGAGCAGTTCTCTGAGCTTGGTAAAAGTTTCAGCTCATTTCTTGCACACTGATTTCTCATGCATGAGTGCTAATCCTCCTTTCATCAGTCGGCCCTGTTCACGAGTCACTGAGGTTGACATGACTTCACTTCACACGCTCGGTGTCTTGATGTTAATACGAAGCTGTTGTAACCCCCCTGTGGAAAATCAGTACAGCGAAGCAGAGTAATCCTCTCCCAGATATTCCCATGGGCGTCATTAGTCACCATGACAAGAAACTGTTAATCAAAGAGAATAGCGTATAATTACTCACAATGAACCCCTGCGCTGTCTTATAGCCATTTACCATACGAACCAACCAAAAGTCCCACAATTCTATCAGCTTGCAATAATGAACAAAATAGTGTTGATTAATTAAATTAATGCCTTTCTAGTTCCAAAATGCTATTTCATTGAAATGATGGTGCCAGAAAAGTCAAAAGATGTGCTGTATGCTAAATGCTCCATAATGTATGTTTATGTATGTTTTCCTTTTTACCGATTTTGTTTACAGATTTACACCCTTAAAAGATGGTTCTTCAAAGGTTCTTTAACAAAAATGGTTCTGTATAGAACCCTGAACACTCAAAGGACCCACGGCATGTTTAAAGGGTTCTTTGCAAGGTGAAAGGGTTCTTCAGATTGATGGATAATGTCTTGTGTATGGTTCTTTATTACCTTTTTGAAGAGGGTTCTGTATAGTACAGAAAAGGTTTCTTCTATTGTTACAAGATTGGCATTGCTATATAGAACCCTTTTCAGAAAGGTTATGTTTAGAACCATACACAAGACATAATCCATCAGTCTAAGTAACCATTTCACTGTGCAGAGAACCTTTTAATCATGTAAAGGGTTCTTTGAATGTTCATCGTTCTATATAGAACTATTTTCTTTACTAAAGAACCCTTGAAGAACCATCTTTTTTAAGAGTGAAAGTAATACCACTTCTTCCGTTTCGTTGATGATTAAACTGGCATTTAAGTGCCACATTTGAAGGAAAAAGGTTAAGGATGCACGATGATACCGGAATCATATTGCTATCGGCAGATACCTTCTATTTCTGCTTTGCTTCTATAAAAAGAATTGAAGTAAGATGAAAGTCTAAACTTGATTAGATTAAAAAAAACTAATAGATCACTGTAAATAAGCAATAAATCACAATATATTGCATGTCATATTGTAAATCATATTGTAATATCTGACGATACTTAAAAAATAATAATGGTAATAATTAACGTCACAAAATATCACAATAGAATTCTGTCTCTGTAATATTGTATTGTGATAATGTTGTATTGTGGAGTCACTGTTTACCTGTGTTGGATCACATGAATACCTTGATTCATCAAAACACCCACAGAAACTCATCTGGAACATCTGACATTTTTCAGGATGCTTCCAGCACACAAGGAAAGGTTTTCTGATTTATTAAAAGGCTGATTTGCATATTGCACCCAGTTGCAAAATCAGTATTAGAAAAGCCAACATTACATTGATAATTTAAAGGATATATCGTGCAGTCCTTAATTATTACCTGTTTACGGCTGGAATTCCACTGATTTTTCAAGATTGCTGCATCACAAAAATTTTAAGATGTAAACAAAGTAATTCAGAATGTTTTGAAGTGCATTATGGAGGAACCATATAACCATATAATATCCATTATAGAGGAACTTCACACTGGTGGTGATGGGAACCAGACATCTTCAGTGTTGAATGCTTCTAAAAACTACCTCACAAAAAGCAATTACATTAAATGGTTGCAAATACACTGGCTTAAGTTTAAAACATTTATTTTACAATAGATATGAGCAGATCTTGACCTAAATGTATTTCTAAAATGCTTTCATGGTGGGGAGGCATGTGCAGGTCATTGTCAGACAAAACAGTCCCCAAAGAAAACTTTCTTTGATATACCTTCTTTTTACCCGATTTACCAGAACTCAGAAGACACGTGTAGGTTCACTGGGTGTTTTGGATTGTAATAAAATTTGTTGTAGACATCACGACCCCTGGTTAGTTCCTGTCCCCACCACTATAAAGAAATCTCAATGCACCAGTTCACATCAAACCGCGCTGAATGACTGTTTACACCTCAAGCACTAAATTAAGCAGACATTCTGTAAAATCAGTGCAGTTCTGCTTTGAGTCCTGACATTCACTCCAGGTTGCTTATGTCAACACCCACAGCTGTATGTGTATTTTCCTCTCTGTGGTTGACTTTCTCTCTGTGTGCAGGTCTCGCAGGAGAGCATCAGTAATAAGATGAGTTCCTCTAACCTGGCGTGTGTGTTTGGTGTGAACTTGGTCTGGCCTCCTAAGGGCACCATATCCCTGGGTGCTCTCACTCCCCTCAACATCTTCACTGAGCTTCTCATCGAGCACTATCACACCATCTTCAGCTCACGCTGCCCACCACAACAGGTACTGCCCTAAACCTGACCGGACGCTCAGCTTCTAACACACTACCGGTGCAGCTCACGCTGAGACGTTACACTTGACCTTTATATTATTGGTTGTGCCACCAGCAAGTTTTGATTCTCTATGATCTGTTTATTTGAAGGTCTGTCTGTAAACCTGCTAATGTTGCAGCCTAAAACACTAATGAATCAAAGAATCAAACACTGTTATTTTTATAGCATACTACTCAATACTCATACTACATAAACCCAGCTTTTCTCTGTAATATCTTTATTTGCTTTGATATTTTACCTCTAATTACTCAACACTTACTGCATGATTTATTTAATAAGCCAGGTTTAGATAAGGCATTGACCATAGAGACATCAGGTTACTTCTCGTTTATTGTAAATGGTTGTTTTAAGGAATTTACTGCTAACAGAAGTTGATACCTCTAGGCACATAGCTTTTACATAGCATTAATCCTACTGTTCTGAAAACATTTACAAAGTGGTACAAAAACTAATTCATGCCTTTAGAACACTGATAACAGACACTACAAGGGCATCCATTCCAACTCTGTAAACACACAAAGCTAAGTATGTCTCCCCTAAATAACAACAGCGCTTGTGATTGCCATGGCAACCTTCTGCTGGCAGCAGCAGAGATAACCTTGAAGGCGAAACTCATAGCAGCGTTCTGTAATATGCATAAGAAAAAGAAGCTCTGTAGCCTCCTCACAGCCACGGCCCATCAGTTGAGGTGTTTCATATGCTGCCCCACCTGTGTTGCACATCCCTGGCAAAAGAATATGAGCAGATGCTGTTCACCTGTTGTTTGTATTGATTTTCTCTTCCCCTTTGGGGTGTGTGTGTACGTTCTCCTCTGCACCTTAAAAAGTGACTCTTCAGAAAGGCAACTAACAGGTCTCTGAGTATAGCAGTTTAATGACTTTGTTAATTTTTTTTTAGGTCCATTTGTTTTTCCTGTGCTTCAATGTACACTACATGGCACACATCTTTCCTTAGGTTATAAAATATGAAAGGTCCATTTTATACAAAGTGTTGATCTTGGATGTGTTGTTATCCTTTATAGTGAGTAAAATAGGCCTGTGCTTGGCGAGGTAAGCAAGTTACTCTGTAAAATTACAGCTGGTTTAAACATGAATTGATTTTTTTTTCATGAAAACTATAGTAAGGCATTTGTATTCTCAACTGGAAACATAACTTTTAAATGTTCAGCCTCAGGTCTCAGGGGGAAAAACACTTATGTATCAGATCTTGTACAACTGGAACTGGAAACAGCCAAAAAGGCATCAGGCTAAGCAGCCACTAACCACGTTTACATGCAGCCTAATAATCTGAATAATAGCTCAACAGGAATACAATACGTCCATGTATACACCTCAGTGTGAATAGACTAGTCCAATTGAGGGCATTCCGATTGAACGAGTTGGGTAATCCTGTAAATAATCCATTAAATAGAATAATAGCCGTGTAGACGCCTGTATCCGATTACATTCCCATTCGTAACATGTATGTTCTGCACATGTGCGTTTGCGTCATAGCGAAAGTTTACAACAATTAACATGACGGGAGCAGAAACTGGTCTGCAGAGGAGACAAAATTTAAGCTTTGAACTTTAAAAGACGGCAGTGGGACGGGCGTCCAGCTTATGTGTCTCATAACACGACGTCTCCTTCTCGCCTTCTTTAATAAGTACGTGACGTACATTTTTTCTGAGTCTGTCATCATTTTAAAGCAATTAAAAACACAAGCATGCCAGCTGAAAACTCTCACTCTGACTGGACTCGCGTGATGCTTGTTGTTATGGTAACGTCTACACCAAGTGGTACTCTGCGCATGTGCGTCATTTTGGATTGGATTACTTGTGCATGTAAACAGAGATTTCCATCAGATTGTTGAGTACGGTGTGTATAGAAACACCTCAGTCTTCATCTATAATCGGAATGTATTCAGTCGGATTGGCAAAAATCTTGGCGTGTAAACGTAGCTACTGATACAAACTCAGACAGTAAAGTTCATGTGACGTTCACAATTCTGTTCTGTTAGATTAAGTGGTTTCATGGCCAAATTAAAGATCACAGAATACTACAACCACAGCTGTTGTTGAGCTGCACTGTTACGTTCTTAAAAGGAAGTTTTCAAAAATATTTTTCAAATGGTTCAGATGTAAACAGTGTCATTCAGAGTGGTTTGATATGGTTAATTGTAGAGAAACGTACTGACTCAGATTTCTTTACAGCATTGGTGACAGGATACAGGGGTCGTGATGTCTACAACACAAATATAGCCATTTTATTTGCTATCCAAAACAACTACCAAGCCTAAATGTGTCTCCTGAGTTTTATATGTAACGTTGATAATGAAAAATGTTTATATTTTGTAAACATGTATATATTTTGCTTTTTAATGCCTGCATGGTTTTAAAAAATGATGCTAGGACCTTCTTAAAACTCATAAAACAGGGCCTCAGATCAGGCAGCGTATCTCTAACCATTCCATGTAATAACTCTGAGTTTCTAAGTTTTTGGAGTTAGTAAACTGTTCAGACGTCTGGTTCCGATCACCACAACCCCGGACAGTTCTTACTCAGTGAGTTTCTCCGGAACAGACCGTTTCACATCAAACCACTCTGAATGAGTTTGTTGACTTCTTAAAAGTTACTTACAAACTGTCACAAAATTAGTGGACGAAAAAAGCATGTAATCTCTTTGCAGTGATAGAAAAAATAATAAACTGTAAAGCAAAGAGGAAAAAACAGGCCCTCGCACACAGTTACCCCAGTGAGAGTCTACTATTGCTGATACAGGTCTAGATTATAATTACATGAGACCTGATCCCTGATGCTTGCCAAGGAATATGTGATCCTCATCCTCATTTCTCATCATCTGTCAACATGCACTACTCTGCAAAAGTCTTAGGCAGCCAAGAAAATTCTTTAAAGCTTTATTTTGTCATAAAGTGTGCTTTGGCCTGTAAAAACACTGTAAAGCAATAAAATAAACATACATACAGTGAAGTGTCACATGATTTTTAAGTAATATGTTGGTTAGAAGAATATAACACGTTTGGTGCTTCTCACTGCACTCCAGCCATCACATGGATTTGTTGAATTCCATCAGCAGCTCTGGATTTAATTTAATGATGGATTGATTAGATAAAATTAGATCAAAAATTTTCTCAGATTCCTAAGACATTATGGAATCTGAGAATATGTATATCTCCCTACCAAATCCTTTGCTCCTGTAGCACATCATTTCAGGGAAACGTCTATATGAAGGTGTAAGGTCTTTTAGGCTGAAATTCATTCACCTCGTGGGCCTGGTTTTCAGACATGGCTGTCTGAGAAGATGAAGTACAGCAGAGGATATGTGGGTCAGTTTTAAGGGTAATGGAGTTTGGATACAGGTCATGAATGAGCTAATAAACTGCCGAGAATGTAGTAGGTTTCCTGTAATATTTTTCCTGTTACCAAGACTGTATGATTAGCACCTTCTCTGTGTCTGTATATACAGCTTTGTACATATATGTATTTAACATGCCTGTACTGCCGTCTGTATTGTCAATTTTTAATAATTTCATAACTCATTTATGATTAAGGTCTTTAACAGTTGTAGCAGATGAAGTGGATCAGTATTTTTTAAGTAAACTGGAGTCTTCAATAAAGTTTGTTTATCTTCAATAAACTCTGAGCAGCGTGAATCGCTTATTTTTTTGTTTTTTCTTGTTTTAAACAATACGATTGTGGTCTAAATCAGAATGGAAAAGAACAGTGTTATGCTTTCCTTGTACAAAAGAGCAGGAGCTAAATGCATGTGTGAATGCAAGTTCAAGCTGTACATATGATCATACGTAGTCACATATAAAAGTTTGGGCGCCCCTAGTCAAATGATGTTTTGTTGCTTTTCTAAGTAATAAAAAGTTGATACATCCTTTACAGACACAGTGCACAAATACTGTTTTACCTGCTGAATTTAGCATGTTGGAAAAATCTAAAACATAAACTGACCTGTACAAAAGGCAACTTTGGCAATCATACAGTTTGCAGGAAAATGCCTTTTAAGTGTGTTCTCTGTCGAGGATGTGTTAGCCTACTTTCACTTAGAAAATCAGCAGAACCAGTAATATGACCAGGTGGTGGTCCCGCATTTGCATTCAACTGTACAGTAACACACAAACGTTTAGAATCACTTTTATAATAATACCAAAATTATGATGCTAGTGCTTTGTAAATTAACTACTTCTTATACAATTAACAAATATACACATATACAGAAACACCTTGTATCTCCAAAATGACAACTTTACAGGAGAAGGAAAAAACACTTTACTTTTAATGTAAGTCAATGGAACCAGACTTTTGTTCCAATTTTTGAGCCAATTTGTCAAATTCATCAAGAAATCTACACCAAATATATACAGCAACAGGCATTTTCAGATTGTCAAAAACTGAATAAAGGCAAAAGTGGAGATAGAAAGTTTTGTTCTGACAGCAGTGATATAAATGTGTGCGTGTATGTATATATATGTGTATATATATATATATATTGTGTGTGTGTGTGTGTGTGTGTGTGTGTATTATATATATATATACACACACACACACACATATTAAATAAAAGCAGTCATAATCACATAACTGCTTTTAACTTGAATTATATATATAATTCAAGTAAAAAGCTGTTATATGTGATTATAAAAGTACTATAGTACTATAAAAAGACACCGATTCCCATGTTTTTCCATGTTTATTATCGATTCAGTTTTCAATAAGAACTTAGTACAAAAAAGTGAGACTACTCTTTACCATTTACCAACTTCCATCAATCAACTTTGAATGCATCATAAAGAAGAAAAAACTACATTGGCATATGTAAGACAAACACTTTCCTATACATACTATCCACTGGACAGTCCCCTTTCATAATGACAAAGGAAAAAAAAACACTACTTCGACAGTCCAAAGACATCCACCTAAAAGTTGCCTCGTTGCCTTCTCTATTTCTTTTTTATTTTTGCTACCTTCTCCTCATAGCAAAAGGACACATCGCAGATCGCAAGCTAAATGCATAATTGGCAAACAATAAAAAAACTTGATTTTTTTTTTGTCTCCCTTTTCTTTCTCACGTTCATTGATAAAAGAATATAAAAAAGTTTTTATCTTGTTCAACGTAGTGTCGAGTGTATTAAAATAGATCTGTATAAGCACGGCACAGTTTGTCCCGGAGAAGATTCTGGAATATGGGAGTATGGGGGGGGAGGGTTGCCTGTGGAGGAGGCGGGGACATGCCTCAGAGTGGGCGGGAAATGATGGGTGAAGGGCACTCTCGCTATGAACAAAGCTCTGATATGGTTTAGTTAGCTTTTATCCCCTCCCTTCTTAAAACGTTTGCTTTCCTGTTTTCAACAGGGTTTGATTCTAATCTGTTTCCAAATCCCCCTCCCACAGCCTCTGCAGTATCCTCCTATCAGAGCCCCTCGGGGCTAGGCGTACCTGTATTACACTGCTGTTATTACAGCGATACAGGCCAGCGGGTGATATGCACGGAATTGCTTACATTCTGGGTCTGGCTGTGTCAGATTAGTCTGTGTGCGCTGTTCTGTCTCATTCGGTGAAAATTACAGTACTTGCTAAGCCATATAAGGAAACTGTGATATGCACTTCTAAAACAATGTTGCCATATAAGGACATTTAATCATTATGAGCCCATTATAACGTTAATGATATCAGATTCTGTCCCTTCAGCTCAAAAACTGTTCAGTGGGGCTGCACGATATATTGGTTGTTGATCGTTATCTCAATACTGGCCTTTGCAATACTGATATCACAGAAGGCCACCAAAATATGCAAATGAGCTTTCTGACAAATCACAAGTCACGCAATAATGCAGGCCAATCTTTAATCGTCACATAATAAATTTCATGTTGTATTGCAGTGGCAATGTGGTATATAATAAAGTGTAAAGCCATTTGTGTTTTTTCTTTTTTTTCTAAAATCTCCTACATCCAATGTTTTGGGGTGTTTGATTGGGGGTCTGTCTCACACAAAGCAGCCACCTAACTTTAGTCTTAGTTCGATGTAACCCTGGATCTTCTGTCTCATCATCACTTTTTACCAGGATGCATCACCAAGCCAACTTATGCTGCTTGCCTAACCCGCTCCAGGGCTGGTTAAGATCAGGATTTCAAACCGCTTTTGGAACACGCAGGACAAGCTTCTGACCAATCAGGGACAGGCTTCTGACCAAGGTGGTCCTTTACAAACCATGTTTTTTTTTCTGATGTTTATCATGTCAGTCATGTTAAATATATTGTTTTTCAGTGCAGTAAACAAAATATACTACATAGATATCAAGAAAAGCAGTTATAATTCCAAGAAACACGGCAACATTGTTGCTTTTACCATTATGAATGCTGTACTTTCTACATATTTACGAAGTGGGGCTGGACGATATGACCATATGTATCGTTATGATTAATTGTCAATATAATTTGAGAAAACACACTGACCAACTGCATGTTTCTTTACAAAGAGATCATAATTAGTCACTGGATTTAGTGCAGTATGTTGAATAAAATCTTTATTTTCTTAGATTTGATAGTCGTTTGTGTAAATGTGTCACTGCTGGTTCTTTCTTTACCTGCAACAACTTATCAAACCTCGGAAAAAGTAAAAATCTTGATGCACGTCGTGAATCGTGAAAATGTCTTAATGCATTGTGATATTTTTGCCATGTCACCCACCCCATTGCACGTTTATTATTATTTACTTCTTAGAAAAATAAGCCACTCCATGCCTCATATTTTACCACTGGCTTTTCATCATGCTTTAATGTGCATGTGAACAAGGAATAATTTTAGCTTAAATGTCTAAACCTGGCTTAACAGTGAAATCTTTGAAGTCAAACATGCTTGGTGAGACGGACCCCTGGGCAGATCCAGCATAGCTGAAAACCTGTGCCAACTTGTGTATTAAAACAAACTCAAATTATTGGGCTATCAGGCCAAAACCCTGCTGACTTTGCTTGGCCGTGGTCACTGTTCAATGTAGGAATTAAGGGCATAAAGTGGAGAATTTTAAGATTAAAGGCATATCAGCTTTTCCCACCCTGGGGTCGAGAAGCAGCCCTGCATCACAGGCTCGGCCCCAACTGCACACTTTAAAAACCCTTTGGCAAAGCAGGAAGACAAACTAGCACGAAAACTATCCCTCCAGAAAATTCAGTCCAGTTCTCTCTTCTCATGTCAACGTTTAACGTTCTGATATATATTAAATAAACCCTGGTTTTTCTAATGTTGTTCTTGAGGCAGTGTTCATTTGTATCGTCTAGCAAAATGAAATAACCAAAAAGAAATTTAAACTCCAACTCGTGGCGTCATTGCAAGAATATGCGATGTTGTACATGATGTCGTTGGATGATAATAAAAGAAACAAACAGCTTCAAAGTAAAAAATCAGACATATGGACAGGACAGATAAGCGAGACGGTGGTGAAAAAATGGGAAAGTTCCCAGTACAAAAATGTAAGGGTCTTTTTTTTTGGCTTATCTTATATACTGGTGAAAAGAAAAGAAAGGGTTTTGGTGACAGGTTCACACGCTCACTGGAAATCGAATGGCCCTTCCAAATGTCCGCTTTTTTGTTGTCAGTGCAACGGGAAAATAAAGGAACACCATTTGTGTGGCTGTGATTTGGAGTAACAATACAGAAGAGAAATTAGAAGGACCTGTAATAACAATACAACATATGTACAATTCCCCTCTCTCCAATACTTCAATTCACAATTATGAACAGGCATCAGCATGAAAATACTAAAATTCTGCACTAGAAATGCTAAATTTCGTAGTCATCTTAAATACTTTGTTCCTTTATCTCAACTCTATTAATACTGAAAAAAGTTATTCTCTGCTTTTTTTTCTCATTTGTTTGTTTGAAGGCTCGTATGCTCGTAAGTACATACACAATGAAGAAAAAACAAACATTTCCCCGTCTCTCTTTCACCTGAATTATTATGGCAATCATTGTTCATAGGAGAATGAGAACAGTTATCTGCTTGGATAGATCAGCGTACACTCCTCTCCACTTCTCATATGTCTCCTGCTCTCTTGTTTTCGTCTACCACTACTCTAATGTTCTCTCTCGCTATATGCAGAACGGTTATTATCCCCTCCCCTCCCTGTTAAAAAAACGCAAAACATACTAAAAAGAAAAGGCTGTGGCCGCGTAGAATACTTATTTCGCATATTCATGACGGCACTGTTATCTGCTTTGTTTTTTTTTTGTTTTTTTTATTATTTTTTAAATGTCGTAAATACGTTAAGGCCAAGAACATTTATTAAATTAAAAAACGATAAGTTTAAAAAAAATCTCGTAAGCACTGTAGGTGTTGGGTTTAAAAAATACTTGTCATGAATCGAGTGAAGGATATACTGTAGTTTCCTTTTTGTAGTATTTTTTTTTTCAGAATTTTTTTAAAGGATTTCTTTTCTGAAAACATTACTGCTCTTGCAAAAAGAAAAAAGAAAAACTCCACAATGGTTAAGATATCACTCTCCAGGTCCCTGGAAGAGCTGTATGTGGTAAAAGAAACGCACGTCTGTTCTGTAGCCGCTCGCTCAGTCATGTGTAAATGTTTTTCTTGTTGTTGTTGTTGCGTTTTTTCTTTTTCTTGTTTTTTTTTGCCTGCTCTGGGGTCAGTTGTTGCCCTGTGACTGGGCCACGCTCTTCTGCAGTAGTGCGGCGGGGCCCGCAGGGGGCGCTGTGGTGCTGGGGGAGCTGCTGCTGCTGCTGCTGCTGGTGGGTTTGATCCAGGGCAGGGAGAGCAGAGAGGCTCCTGTGGTGGTGGTGGCCGTCATAGTGACCTGGATCATGTGGTCGCGCTGGATCAGGCGGATCAGAGTCTTGAGGCGCTCCAGTGAGGCCTGAGTCTCCCTCTGCTGGCTCAGGAGGCGCTCCTTCAGATCCATGCATTTCTAGACAAGACAGACGCAGAACAGCCTTACAAAAGCACTCAAGATATAAGATGAAAATTCACATTTAACCCTTCAAAACGTCCATCAGTGGCGTCCATAACAAAAATCTTCAGTTTTTAGAACTATTTCTCACTAGTAGCTCAATCAAACAAGCAGAGAAATTCTGCTGATAGTGTGGATTATAAACTTTCAATACAATGTTTTTTTGTAATTCTTCTGTGTTTGTAAGTAGAAGAAGCAGAGGTTTTACTATTGTTTCAATTTGATGGAAAGTTACTGTGGTCTTGTTTTGTGGAAAGAAAAACCATACTTTACATGTCTGATATGTTTTGCAATTGTAGGACATGGACACACGGAAAAAGTCAGGAGTGGAGACTCAAAGCTGTCTGTAAATTCAATGTAAATGTAATTATTAGAGGAAAATCATAAATTTGTTTAATCATGAACATGAGTTTCGATTTTTTTGCAGCCCGACTGGTGACGGATAATATTTGGCCAATTTTTTTAACCTAAGGGTCAGACAATGTGGGCTAAGTGAACCCATGAATCCAATACTCTCTATGAGCTGCAATATAAGTAACATTATTTGCTCTTTACTGGGCTAAACTGGCATATTTAATTCTTAAAAATCAAACAAAGAGCTACATCAAAAGTAAGAGTTGTGCATAATTATGATGAGACATTTTGGCATAAATGTTGCAGCCGCATTCGAAAAACAGCACAAGTGCATTTACTTGATTCATCATAAAACTGACACAAAACTTGGCCAAAATCAAAATAATAAACTGGCCGAATGCCGATTGCTTGTTTGGAATGGAAAACGTCTGATTCCGATTCCATTTCAACCGTGGACGTCTAGTATTTACTTGACAACGTAATTAATTATAGAATTATGTATTTAAAACAAATTGCACCTCAAAATGACAATAATAATGCGCTGCTGAGGTGAAGTGTGAAGTATATAAATATGACGTATATTTTAGTGCACAGTTTCTACTTATTTTCTTAGTTGAACAAAATAATACATGTACTTCGTGATTTGACCATGTAATTTAACCAGCGGCGCCCAAACATTTCGCACACGACTGTATAGAAACGTGCAGCTGGAATTAGAAGATGGGTTTTTAGAAGAAAGGCTGTGAGTCATGCTCTGTAGTGTGGAGCGATAATGTGAAGTTAGAACAATACCGAGAGAGACTTGCTGAGCCGCTGGTCTTCTTCTTTAAGGTGGGCGCACTCTTTCTTCAGCTCACTGTTCCTCCTTATCAGCTTTCTCTTCTCCTCCTCTCTCACTACACACACATGAAATGAAATTAACCTTTTAGCCAACTGTGTCTGAATTAGACCTCCGCATTCAACCCATCTGTGCAGTGAAACACCACATACACACTAGTAAACACACACACACTAGGGGGTAGTGAGCACACTTGCCCGGAGCGGTGGGCAGCCCTATCCACGGCGCCCGGGGAGCAGTTGGGGGTTAGGTGCCTTGCTCAAGGGCACTTCAGTTACGTACTATCAGCTGAGGAGATCGAACCGGCAACCTTCCGGTCACAAGGCTGGTTCCCTAATCTCCAGCCCACGACTGCCCCAGACTGCCCCATGACTGACATTATACACTCATCTACAACAAGACTCCAGCACTGCAATAAACAGGCCCAATCAGAATCAGCCTATTCTGCCAGCTGTTACATATTTCTGTAATCATAGAGTGATACAGTATAATAAAGGTAAAACATTGAGTGCCATAAGAAATAGAGTTCTGGGCCACAGTAATGGGGATTACAAGATTCAGGCTTTAACTTAAGCAGAACTTACCTGTTTTGTGTGTAACGTAAGACTGGACAAAGTTATGTGGCCAAGACAAGTTCTCTTTATTCAGAACCTTCAGAGGAAAAACAGAAAAGCATTATATTCACTTTCATTTAAATTGCCTAAATGTGCAAATTACAAATTACTGCTTTCTGTTTTTATTTGCATTTCACATACTGTCAAAGCTTTCTTGGAACTGAGGTTTGTATATTATTAAAATATGCCTGTACTGGCTCCAGTGTTGATATAATCTATAACAGACTCGTTTTAATAGTTCACATATCAATTGTTCTGAAACTCACCTTCTTCTGGCACTTGGGGCACATCCACATACCCTTGGGCGGGGATTTGAGGGGAGGATGTAAGCAGTCTAGGTGGTAGGCGCGGGTGCAGGTATGGCACTGCTGAAGGTCTCCTTCCTCTTTACACACTGCACAGTGGTCATCATGCTCAAGCTCGTCCTGTGATACAAACACGCACCCAAAACCACAAACATCAGAACGGCAAGTCTTCACTGTGTAGTACGATACCAAATATACTCAAAATCCATTTGATCTTAGGTGTTGCCATGGTTATTTCAGAAATAGCGGACAGCAAGAATTGCACGCAGTACAATGACACTGACACTGACATACAGCTCTCAGTTGTACCTTACTTGCTTGCAAGAACACATGCAGAACTCTCAGTATTGGCCTCAAAATATAATCACACCATTTATAATACTCTAGACCAAAAGCAAGGCATACAGACACACTCAGAGAATCGTTAGCTCAGCTACGTACCTTCCAGCACAGATCCACAGAGTCTGGCGTGTGAATTAGAAGCAGAGAACAGGTTAGTAAAAAGCTGGTACAGTCATCAGACAGGGTTATACATGGGTTAGATTTGCAGCTACAGCCATGCAACAAAGCCAAAAACAGAACAAGCTTAAGCTTAAGTGTGGTTAACACACAGCATTTTACATACAGTTTTTTTTTTCTGGGACACGTCATGGCAGGTTAGTCTGAGCTTGCAAAGATCTATAAGTGAGCCTACACTTTAATTCCTTACACTGTACGTAACACAGTTTTATGACAGGGTGGGCGATATGATGATATTCATCATCATTGTGACGAATTACATCCCGTTACACCACCATAAGCTTTTCTGAGCATATTGTAGAAATCGTACTTAAAGAACACTGACCAACTGCAGGTGTCATTACAGCATAGTAAGTCCTGTTTAATTTAGTGCAGCACAGTGTGTGAAACGCTGATATTATTCTTTAAATGTGGCAGTGCTGGTTCTTGTGTTTCTGTTCTAACTTATCAAACATCTGGAAAACTAAATTTCGTGATGCGTATCATGTATCATGAAAATGTCTAAGTATCATGAGGTCATATTTTTGCCATAAAGCCCAGTCCTTTTTAATATCAGTTGTCAGATAATTAATAGTAGTAATAACGTCTTAAGATTAATAACCATATAATAAGTTTGGGGAAAAAACCTGAACCTAAGCTGTTGTGATCTGTATGCCAGATCTGTAGACTACATTTAAAGGCTGCAGCAACTGATTTAGTATCTTTAAGACCACATTCACCCCAGCTGTATTGATTTGAGTATACGTCAGGCGTACACAGTGCATCTGAGCATTTGGTAGTCACTCAGAATGGGGGTCCTGTTTGTCCGTCTTGATCACATCGTGTTTGTGTGCGGGCATGTATCGGTTTGTGCGTGAGTGTGCTGCTTCATGCATAATTTTGTCAGCTCTACTCCAGCTGTGTTGTGTTGATGGGAAGAGAAATCCGTTTTACCTCTTGCTGACAGGAACAGTGGGTTGTTCAGATAATTTGATGCAAGTCTTTTGCGCTGGAAATCAAAGAGGTGAAACTCTTAGCTTTTTTACTGAGATCATAAAGTAAACATATATGTACACTCGGAAACCAATTATTTCTTTTCTAAACTGCTGTTTAAAGCAGGCGGTTTTAACAGTCTAACCGTCAACAGACGGAAAAATTTTCCTTGACTTGCTGACGTAAAAATAGTGGAACTCTTTGTCACCATTTTTAAAGTCCCTGTCAACATCGTTTCAAATGTTTACATTTTTTGTTTTAATAGCAAAGATACGCCGCAGAATAAGCATTTACCACTATTATATTCAAGACATATAAATAAATTAATACAATTGATGGCACACACAGAAGGCAGGATCGGTGTTGTTCAGCCCTACATGCTTGATTTTGATGAACAAGAGCCCCCTGCAGGAAACAGACCACTTCGCTCTTCTCAACTGTTCTCTAAATGGTGACTAAAAAAGGCAAAATGGAGAACAAGCTGTCTGATGGTCATTTTAGAGATCTAATGACATTTTGCAGCTAATGTTGAAGAACTCCTCATATGTCGGGTAGATCACTTACGTTATATTCGTAACCTATAGCTAGCTAGGACTGTGCTTCTGCAACGGAGGTCACACAAGCTCCTGTTATGAGTCAGCACGGTCATATTTGCAGACACTGTGGAAATATTACTTTATGTACAATTACAGGGAAACACTGTGAGCCTTGATGTTGAGGGATAGGTAACATAACACTAAGCAGACATACTATATTCCTACAGTTAAAGAGGAAGGTTAACTATCGCACTCTCGTAAAAATCTCATAATTGAATCTGGCCCTTTCTGTACAAGATTAGTGACCCCTGGTTTAAACATTCAAATAGTTCTTTAAGTTGTTATGGTTCTATACAACCACTCCCTTTACTAAAGAACCACTGAAGAACCCATTTTATTGAGGTTTTATGTTAGTATTTATGGCAGGACTATTCCCTTCAACATACAAAGACCTGTTGCTCATGTTAAGTGTGATTCTAACTACGGCCCAACCGATATATCAGCTGGCTGATAAAATCGCTGATATTAAGGCTATATATATTAACAATTGTATCAGTAAAAATTCTACCAATAACGCACAAATATTGCTTTAAAGTTGTGCCTTTCATTAGAGGTGTTAAGATTCACAAAAATCATAATTCTGTTCAGTATGATACAGTGGTGTCTTAATTTTTCAGCTTCCTACAGCATTCAGCAGTATAAAAGAACAATATTTTAGCCACAAGCTAAAACATGCTCATGAGGTTAGTGTGCTTTTCCTCTCTGCTCTTGAATTTAACATAAGAATGCCCTCACTGCGGACATGCTTAGTTTTATTTTATTCCCTCCAGTCAAATGTTGAATGTATTGTTCAATTTGATACCTGTGTGTACTGAACTGAGAGATGTGTATTAATAAAGAACACACCTCTAACCTAAAGACAAGTGCTGATTTCTGAGACCTTTAATGTTCTTATACATCTCTTCTTGTATGGGTTACAAAACGTTCATAACGCTCAGGCCTAAATTCTGCTTGTTCACTGTGCGGTGCAGCTGACAGTATTGAAAGAATAGCTACCTCTGGCTCAAACAGGCTGCTGTACGCAGGGTTAGCTGTACTTCTTCTCTTCCTCTCCTGCCTTTTGGTCTGGATCTCTGCCATAACAATATCATTAGACTGGTTATTATACAAGCTTACAACAACAGAATGAATTAACAGAACAAAAAAAATGATATACATCCTACTGATTCTGAGCTTACCTTCCAAGTGTTCTGTAGTGACAAGGCCGAGGGCTACCATGAAGGCAATTTTCTGTAGAGAGAACAAAAAAAACATGATATATTGACCCCACCACATAACATAACACACAATAGCAGCATTGTGTGTTATGAGGATAGTTCCCAGCCAGAACCCTTCTGAGTTTCTTCATGTTCTGCCCAAGAAGATGCAACTATTCAGCTAATTATCAAATCCTTGTGCCAACGTTAGCTAATTATCACATGCTGATTTGTTTTAGGTGGAAAACACAGCATTCTGCAAGGACTCACATTCCCCAGGACTCCAATATATTCAGACAGTTGATTCCTGAGGCCACCTATGGTCATTTCTTTTCACTGAATCTTTCTCTCTGTGTGTCAATCCTTGTTATTCAAGACTGTATACAGATGCAGTGGACTGTGCAAATCAAACATAGATAGACACTGAACTTACCTCTGGGTCTTCCTCCTTCTTCTTGGTCTTGTGAGGGGAGGAGGCAGCGGGACTGGGCTCCTGTGGGTGGCTCTCAGCCAGTGGACCTGAAGAACCCTGAGAGCTGCTGGGGATCTGCGGCTGGATAATTATCACCTGTGCATGCAAGCCAATACAAACGGGTTTGAGCATGTTTAGGATCTGAGATGCTAGTGAAGCAGTGCTAGTTATGAGAATGATGGATATCTAAAAACTGAAATAAACTGAAAACTGAAAGCATTTTTACAGATACTTCAGCCTTACATATTATGGTAATTAGTGATGCATAGAAATGAAATTTTCTGGCCAAAACTGAAGACACAACTGGCTGAAAACCAAAAGAAAACCGTTTTATTTATGAATTTTTGAATAAATGAATTGAGGAATAAAGGAATTCCTTTCTGCTTCTGTTCTCTGCTGTATGTAAGAGCAAGATGTGGTGTTTTCTAGAGGTATCAAACCACTTGTAATGGAGCAGTTCTCGAGTGTTGTATCCACTCTCGATAATTGAGATGAACAAAGATTATAAATCGTTTGTCTGATGTTCCTCATATAAACCATGAAATAGTCCACAGCCCACATTTTTCTCCACTGTTGATTTGCTGCTACTCAAACTGTTTGAACGTGTGTACACTGTCTGGCGCAGGACAGCAAAGGAAAAAGCAGTGTTTTTAACCACTGTTTCTCTTTTTCATTATCATCCAAATGTCTTGTTAAGTTTTGCGTTTTGACACGTTGTTGTAGTCCTATTTAATTTTTTTTCCAGCCAAAATTTTCAACCTTGTTTCTCTTCTGACCAAAAAAACCTAAGTGTTGCTTTTGGCCATTTCTGCCATTTTCGGCAGAAATGTTTTGGCGAGTAAAATTTTGTCACATCCCTAAATGAACACTTCTCTCCTCAAAAGATGCCAGTTAGTTAGATAAGCTGCTGGAGGACATGTGGACTCGCTTTGGAGTATGTTCATACCAGCATAAAATCCCTTTCACTCTACGAACAGGCTGATGGTAATCAAACAAAAAACAAAAAAAAAACAAAGACTGTTATTTACTGCATGTTGCACGCTGTTTCTGTGTGCAGTAGAAAAATGTGGTCCATGAGAACTGGGTGTGACCAGTGGCCATGAGGACCACCACTCTCTCTTAACGACATTGTAATGAGCCTCACCAATCTTCTCTGTGTCAGCCACAACCCATTTTTCATCCCACCCCGAGATTAATTACTCCTGCAAAACTTCTACGCGGAGGTGAGCCTTCGTTTGAGCTACTCTGGGATTCTGAAGAATTACTCGTCACATGCAAGGGCCCAGCAAGGTTAAGCTGCCCAATCAGGGAGCCGCTTCCCAAAAGCATTACAGTGTCAAGATAATCTTAAGTGTTAGAAACACAGACTCATTCAGGCAGGTTGTATTAGTGTTTACACACTGCTGCCTTTTAGGAAAGCAGGTCTATAGTTATTTGGCTCTTATAGGCCACAAAGAGAGGACCACTTGAACTCCATATATAGAGGTGAAACTACTTCAGAGTCAGTCTGCTAGTTATTTCATCATATATATATATATAAGAGAATATCGCCAATTTGTCATCATTTCATCATTAAGATGTAAACAAAACCATTCAGAGTGGTTTGATGTGAAATGCTCCATTCTAGAAAAACTTACTGAGTTGTTCACAGTGGTGGTGCTAAGGATGAGACATCTGAAGTGTCTTCTAAAAGCTACTTTAAAGAACATTATTACATGAAATTCCGGTTTTGATCTAAAACTAGGTGGAGAGGTACATGTAGGGCATTATAAAAATAATCCCTAAAGAAAACCAGATTTTTTCCAGATTTTAACATTAACATATAAAAACTGAGAGGACGTGTAGGTTCACTGGTCATTTTGGATTGTAAATAGAATTTTTGTGTTGTAGACATTGTGAACCTTGGTTCGTGTCAGCACCACTGTAATTAAATCTGAGTTGGCAGATTTCTCTAAAATACACAGTTGTACATCAAACCCCTCTGAATGACTTTTTTGAATTTGATGGCTTTGAATATCACTACGCAGAAATTTTGAATAATCTTTAAAATTCCTGTTTAAAAGGAGCGAAAACTTCACAAACCTCAAAAAGGTTTTATTCAATTATGATTGTTTAGGAAACTATTTAATGCATCATGTCATGAAATATAGATATTAAAAACAACATACGAAGTTTTTTTTTGGACTTTCACGTGTGAAAAGAGCTTAACATAGCAAAATCAATGCGGTCGAATCACCACCCTAGACTGACACATCACAACGCACTGACGCTTCTTTACAACTCTAGGTGTTACTGTGTTGGCCTCTGTGGCTTATGTGAGTGCATCTCCACTCAGTTTGTCTCTGTGAAAGCTCTCTGTAGTCCAAGGACATACTCAAAAACAGTATCATAAAATATCTGGCTCAGTCTGGGAACAGAGAAAAGCAGCTACATTCTGAAAAAACTGAAAAATGTGAGGACGAATTGTTTGTGATATCCCATAACTGTAAGCTGCAAGCAAATACGAATAAACAACACATTTACACGCTCGTGTGTCCTGCATCATGAGCTGGTTTTACACTTTTCATTTCTTTTGTAGTTCTGAAGCTGTGACTGGTTGCAAGCTCCTTATCATGAACTACTTTAGACTAGAGATGGCACCAATATGATATTAGGTATTGGTATCCAGCTGATATCAGCAAGAAATGCTGGACTGGATATTGGAGGGAAAAAGAATGAATCTGATTTAATCCTGTAACAAGTCTATCATGAAATAGCACACACTGTGTATTTCTTTCCGTGGGGTAGTAGAGTGTTTGAGTAGTCTTTCACTATTAGTTGCTCATCTCAAGTGAAATACTTCAACTGAAAGTAGCTCATTTTAAAGCTAAGTAGTATTTAAAGAAGAAATATTGGTATCAGTATAAGAAAAGAAAAAGTGGCATTATGATGTCTCTACTTTTGACTATATTTGTGAGGGAAAAATTTCCATGCTGGCTCTTACATCTCTGTTTATGTGGCTGCAAACTTTTTTCTCAGCAAGAGGAATTTTCTCAAATAAATCACTGGCAAAGGACGACATGTCGGCATCCAAGTGCAGCAGCCTGTATACTAGTAGTGTGGATCTTAAGGTGGTGAATCTGCATCTACTGCATTCATTTTTAGACTGTATTCATTTTTAGACTACATTTAGATTAGATGTGTATTATTTGGATTGTCTATATTACACTCTTGTGTAAACAGTTTCTACAGTTACGTCTATGTATTCAGAGCAGAATGAACAATTTGAGGAAAATATCCAATTGTAAATTATTGCACCAATATTGCGATTGTGATTTAAATGCAATTATTTTATATTAATTAAGCTTCAGCCTTCTTTTTTACCAAGGAAATTAGGTAAAGAAGATCATGTTATTAGGTTAAATTTTCTTACTTAATACTTATTAATGCTGCTTGAATAATGTGGGATATATATTTAAAATTGCAACTCTTGCAATTTGAAAACTGCATTGTGATTTGGATATACAAACAATTAATAGTTCAGCTCTAATTCAGAATTATGCCAAAACTAAATAACAGCGAAATTTGAGATTTCATGATGCACTAAATCGTTTCCTAAACAATCATAACAGAATCAAATCTTGAGCTGAGATATGAGATGTGTTTGTCATTTCACACGAACTGTAAGTTGTGGTGATAGCATCATGCTAAGTGAAAAGCTATTCAGGTGGGTCTCTGACCTTGCTGTCTGGGCTGAAGATCAGTGGCTGCACTTTCACAGCCTCGCTCATGGCTGCCACTCCGTTGCCGGCCGATGAGGCGGAGGAGATGATGGCGTAGGCGACCCCAGGGCTGGCTGTGGAGACGCCGGCCGGGGAGCCGTCCCCCTGGCTGCTGGCCATTCTCTCTGGGCTGAAGGTGCTGTTGGCGATTGGCAAAGCCGGGCCTTGGCTCTTGGGGCTGACCACGGCCGTGCCCCGCGGCAGGCTCAGCGGCTGGCCGGACTGCTGCTCCTGGCACGGGCTGTGGGGAAGGCTGTCCGGGATCAGAGTCTTTGGCCTAACCTGTTGGCAACAAGGACCAACTGTTGGCTCATTTGAACAATTACAATCTGCTAATGCAGACACTCATTTAAATAAAGTCAGAATGCTAATGACTTTGTTTTATATTTTATCAAATGGATGGAGTTTGTTTAACCAGAATGACACATCTATCTCTCCAAGTCAAACCTTTCCTTTTAACCTTGTTAATTCATCCTATCATTTCATCTGAAGGGCCATTATCATGTATAAACTCATTTTCCGAACTTTGAGGAAATGAAAGTGTGTGTATGAAGTATGTATGTAGTATGAAAACAACGTTAAGGTTTAAAACATAGCATGCACTCCATACTCCATACAATCCATATATATGGAGACTAAGCTGCAGAAACAGCCTGTTTTTAATTCATTATTGTTGTGATGTCACGAAAACAGATGAATTCATGTATATGCACCTGTTCAGCCTGTTGCAGTTTAGCTCCGCTCATTAACGGTGAAGTTATAAGGAGCGTTTCAGCCCCGTCTGCTTTCTGAACGAGGCAAAATTCAGGGCAGCCAATCAGAACAGATGACATTTACCTACATCAGTCTTAAAAACAGCCTGTTTAATTCTATGAGATAAAGAGAAATAGGCAGAAAAATGGTCATGTCAAAATTGACTGATCTTGGTACTTAAACCCACAAAGAAAAAAGTCAAAATGTAAGCTATGAGCCCTTTAATGTTTTCATTTTAATTTTCCATCAAAATGTAATTTTTTTGTCAGTTTTTTGCACATAGCCCTGGGCTGGGGAAATAATGTTAGCCAATTCTATCACCTCCAACTTCCACCATCCCCACCTACCAATGAGAGAAAATGCACAGCTAGCTCAGAGACCCTTCAGTACTGTGCTATGCCTGGACATTCATGAGTTAAATAAGGAATGTGTTATGGTTTCTGATTCACAATGACTTGAAACATACTTTCTAAATATCTGACAGAACAGAAGGATTCAGTTGTTGTTAGAATTCAGTGGACTGGCAGTGTTTAAACTTTACTGTTGTTACTCTACACATGCTACATTCATACACTTAACTCAAAAAGATAAATAAACTCATTTATTAATCCTTAACTATAAAAAATACTGACTAAAAAGCTTGGTGGAGTACAATTTCTGTTGAATAATCAGCGTAAGGTATATAAAGTTTCCAAAACAGGCTGCAAACCTTACACTGTCTTTGTTTGTCTGCCTCTGTTCATTTGTACAGACAGTTATGTTTGGGGCCGCATGTGTGAGTCACTCTCTCTCTCAGAGCATTATGGCCTAAGTTTAGAGCTACACTGCCCCCCTGTGGTGTCACTGCTACTTGCACAAATGAGCACTTCACTTAGGTGACCTTATCAAACATCATCATCTCCATTGATCCAATAAGAAGACCAATGACAACAAATGAGCTCAGCTGCAGCAGGGATTAATTGCATCCAAAGCCCAAATGGAAAGCAGTGCACGCAGGAAAGCCTGAGTCTTAAAGATTTATTAGCCGTGTGATTTATCGGATAATCTCTCAGATTTGGCCGTGTGCTCTAATGGACTGCTGTCTGTCTGTATTTTAGGACTGAACGTCTGCTTCACGCTACACTGTTGCCCTGGTGTGTTTAGATATCGGTTTAGGCGGGTTCTGCTCCTCTTCCAGCAGGCTGTGGGTAGCTTTTTACGTGAAGATTGCAGGAATGCTAAGAAGCTCGTGGTACAGAATGTCCTTTTATGATCAGCTAGGTGCTCTTTTACAGACACGTTTCCCATATTTGGGGATGGAGTCTATTTAACCAGAGGGCTTTCCTGGAAAAACTGTAGTGGGTATATAGTTAGTCTATGCTGGTTTATGCTGGTCTGGTGCTGGCCACCCAGCATGGTCATACTGGTTGACCAGCATACCAGCATCCAAAACACAACGTATGCTGGTTTTGCTGGTGACCAGCCATGTTGTTTTTTTTCTAGCAGGGTAGCTGATCCTGTGCTGTGTGTTACAGACTACAGACAGATATATGATGTAATCTGTCTGTTTTTTGTGGCACCTGAAGTTGAAAAAGGATTATATGAGCTTTCTGCAGTATGACGGTGTTGGTGTTACCTGAGGTAGCACAGTGGGCGAATGCCCTGCCAGCCGATGCAGAGAGCTGACCTGAGGCACCTTTATGGGGACTGCTGTGAGGGTTCCCAACATCTGAGGAAAAGACAGAGAGACAGGCAGTGTTAGTATGTTTTCTTAAACAGGATATAAAATGCTTATATTGGCTAGTGAACAGCCTTGGGTGCTGTTTCCAACCGGGGTATGTTAAATTAATGGTTCGGCCAAAAATCTAACTTGCACAGCCCCCCCCCCCTTACTCTAAGTGTAGCTGTCCAGCCAAGACATGTTTGGTGTCTGACGTTTGCTTCTTTAGTATTGTACAGCTACAAGGCTAATGCAGCTAACATGAAACTGAAACTGCCATATTAGCATAGTGTAAGCTACATGCCTAAGTCATCAAACAATTGTTTCAGACTGCCTTTAGTTGTTCAGTAATCTCAAATAAACTTGCTTATGTGGCTTATGTGACACTTACATCTATAAAAATAGCCACAAATAAGGACAAAGTCACACTTTGTTGTGGATGCTACTATTGTTTTAAGCCATTTTATAGATAGTAGTATGTTAGACAGCATTAGAAAACATAAGCAAGTCTATCTGAGATAACAGTTCCACAGATTTTTATAAGAATTTCCATAATTAAATGTTTAAGATGTAAACAAAGTCATTCAAAGTAGTTTAATGTGAAATGCTCCATTCTAGAGAAACTGACCAAGCCAAAATTGTTGTTGAGTTTAATACTTCTAAAAGCTCCCTCACAGAAAGCAATCACACAAAATGATTATGAATACAATGCCTGATACCTGAGACATTGTTTTATGACAGATCTGAAATAAGATTGTGGGCTAAATCGTACATATTTCTGAACATGTAGGACACTGCAAGGCAATATAGTCCCTAAAGAAAACATATCTACCACTATTTCACCAATTATTAACAAATACGGTGGCTATATTTGTGCTGTAGACACCTGGTCCCTATCACTGCCACTGTAAAGAAATCTATAAGAAATGTCAATAAATAATTTTCTCAGTAATTAACTATTTTAACCACTTTAATTAACAATCTCAGTGACTGAATTATGTATGAAATAGTTAAAAATCAGAACAAATTCTCCTTGGCACAGTTTGAGACAAGTGTCTGATGATTTAGCCAGTGATTTAACAAAGCTAACCTGGCAGCTATAAGTTTACATTACTTGTTGGCTACATTAGCCGTGCAGCTCCAGTGTAAAACAAATAAGCAAACTTCAGACACAAAATATGTCTTGGATAACTGAGTACATTTGAGGTGAGGGTGTGCAAAAAAATATGTAAATGAAATTTTTGGCCAAGTGATTTTTGGCCAAGTGATTGTCCATCGACTTTATTCAGAAATGGAGCCCTTCATACATCATTTGAAGAAAATTCTTCATGTAGCAGCATGACTGGTCACTGAATCCATAATATCAGCTGCCAAGCACAGCCACAGAATCCGTTACGGAAAACCGATTCAGCCTCCTTCAGCTTGCTGTTGTCATGCAGCTCCAGAGAGGTTGTATTGAGCGACTGGGTCAAAGCTAATAAGTAAGCAAGTAAGGGAAGAAAACGTAAAAGCATTCTTTACGCTCTCTGTCATGAAGGATGCTCAAAAACAAACGCCCACTTCTGTTCCCCGCTCCAGGAAGTGCTCACCCCAGAGAAAATATATTGAAATGAATGTGGCACACAAGGACACGGGAAACGGAGCTGAGTTCATTATTCTTCTGCATAAAAAAAGACTGTGTTCAAAGAACCGGCACTCAAGGACGTGTGCTATGACCAGCGTGCTTCTTGTGTAATTGTGTTTTCTTTAAAAGCCGGATGTTTATTTATTTATTTATTTCATTTGTTGATTGCTTAGATAATCAACAGAGTATTTAGATTATACAATTCTTTTGATTTGCGTAATTGTTGAAGGGCGACAAGACGTAAGAGCAACATGATGTTTACACCTGCAGTTGATTTTGACATTTTTTGTACCTTGTTGAAATTAAAGATGTGCAATAAACAGGATCATTGATTTTAACTGGGTGCTACGTTTCATGTTTCTGAGTGGTTTATTATCCTGGGATGCTCATTATAATTTAGTCTATGGTTTGTGTTGATTTGCTTCAAATTCTCTTTTTTGCTAACACTTTATCTGAAGGCCACCTACATAAGGACTTCATAACATGGCGTTCCCGTGCCTGGTGACTAATGATTTCTAGTGAGTGAAATGAAATTCATGCAGAAACACTGAATAATGTATTTAAAATCAATGCTTGAGTATTTATGAACACTTTTATGTGAGTATTCTCAAGATGTTTTATGAAGTCAATGGCTCTGAATTGACATAATGGCCCTTTAAACTAAAATGACACAGGTTTGTTCCATTTAACACACTTGTATGAAGCATCATTCCCAAGCAATGGAACTGAAACACACCATGTATCAATTTTATGAAAGTAAGTATTTATGACTTTTTTTGCTCTCTAGTCACAAAGATTGGAAAAAATCAAGTCAATACAAATTAAACCATCTAACGTTTGCTAAATGTTAACCAGTGATGCTAAATAGGAGAGCCAAGCTGGTTAGCATTAGCTTAGCTAGCATGATAACAGCTCTGCTTACCACAGAACATGTTCCCCAGCAAAAGCTAACTTGGTTGGCATGGTGACAACCAAGATGACAGATCACCTGTGTCCCAGCAACTGGAATGTTTTCAAACATCATATTTGATTAGAATCTCTTCTACCACTTTATCCCAACCACTTTCTATGTATTATCATACTACTACCAGGGCGGGATGGTAGCACAGTGGGTAGTTTTTTCACCTCACAGCCTGAGTTCGAGTCCCCGGCAGGGGCGACCAGGGTCCTTTCTGTGTGAGTTTGTATGTTCTCCCCATGTCTGCGTGGGTTTCCTCCCAGTCCAAAGACATGCTGTCAGGCAAATTGGAGACACTGAATCGCACCTACGTGAGTGTGTGTGAATGTATATGTCTGTGTCTGCCCTGTGGCGGACTGGCGGCCTGTCCAGGGTGTTTCCTGCCTTCCGCCCCCTTAAGCGCAATAATTTATTTATTCTACCACGCCTTCAAGTGCCTTCCAACATTGCTCCCAGTACCGGACACTTTATTCTTTCATTCTGCGTATATATGTTTACTTTTTGACATTTATTTATTTTATATTTTATACATTATAGTCTATAAGTGTGTTTATACTTTTATACCTTTATAGTTTATAGACTTGCTCCAAATGAAATCTCATTGTACTTGTACAGTGACAATAAAGGTATTTTAATGGGGCTCAAACTGGGCTACAAACATCTGAGTTATATGTGGAAGAACTCATAGTTTCAGCTGCTGAACGATGTAATAAAGCTCTCTGTGATACTTTCACTTTTCCAAAATGGAAAGCAGCCTGTCCAGTGGCACTGAGTTGTGTGTAGCTGTGCGCAAAAGAATTCAAGGTTCTATCTCCTGAATGAGATGGAGAAACAACTCTGCCTTCTCCTTTTGCTTTTCCAGAGTGGAAAGCATCATGCACAAAGTCACAGTCTGCACAGTTTCCATGAGAAACAAAGGATATCTTAAACACGCCTATCTATGCACTCCCACACCACCAATCAGTGAGCCCCTCTGAAAAATAAATGGCTGGAATGTGTTAATTTGGCTGTTCAAATGTGAAATGGAATGTCAAAATTTTGAAATACTGCCATCACTTTTAAATACCATGGTATTTATACAGCGCATCCCTACGTAGCACCCAAATTATCTTGAGCCAGAACAGAGCAACAAACAAAGGAGGTGACCAGCACCTTTGGTGCTTGGCCCCCTGCAAAAGAAAAGCGACAAGTACAATAAATCTTGCTCCATGTTCCTTTAACATAGCATTTTAATACATGAGGCTGCCACTGTACGGAAGAGATGATTCAACATTACCGATGCATATTGGACTCGCAATCTTTCAGACACTGTTCAAGATTTAAACCTTCTATGTTTCACTGTGTAGATTTCAGTAATGCTGACATGGCAGTCCCTTGCCTGATGACTAATGATCTCTGGTGAGTGAAATGAGATTGTACTGGCTGTAAGAGAACAGGGCTGTGGGGGGGTGGGGGGTGTGGAGGCCACACAGGCAGCTTCTAATCTTAAGCTAATAATTACTTTTTTATTAATACACCAGACATGGGCATTATGTGAACCGCCTGGCCTTCTTCCACATTTCAGAGTTGCCATCTTGTGTAATTGTAGCCTGTGACTAAAAACACTGCATGGCTCCTTGTCATTTTCATGTGGGCAATAAAATACAACAAGATTGTATGTGTTCATTTAAAGCAGACTGCATGTTCCAGATATGCCCAAAATGTATTATTACAGTAAGTAAGATCTTCAGAAACTTTTCATGTCAGATTTGGGCCTCATATTTTTCACACCATTCAAAAACACCAGCTGTCCTTTACACTGTGTGCACATTTCAGGACAAATAGAACAACAGAAATTATACATTAGAATCTTTTTTTTCCTTTTTCTGTAAAGCTACCACTTTGGAGATACGAGGTTTTGTTGCAACAGCGACAAAACAGAGCTTTAGGAAAGCTGCTAACGCTTGTCTTTATATGCTTTTGCTTACAGAGTGCATTTAAGAGCGTGTTGGCACAGCATGTTTTGCTCCGAACCGGTCTCACGTTTCTGCGGTAATGCTTTCTCCATGTTTGCAGTATTTCCTCCATTGCCAGTTTAAACAATGCTGGCAGACAGGAGCTGATTAACAGATTAGTGGAGACAACACATCGCCACCGCGGGCCGTGAAACGCGACACTGCGCTGAGTCTTAAGACGCCAGGCCGAGTTTCTGGACAGAGTGCAAACACACATTCGCAAACACAGATTTGAGCGGAACGGCAGACGTGACTTGCAGTTACAACAGCAGGAGAGGCTGGGATACCAGCCTTTTTCTTCATGAACCTATCAACCTAGCCCAACTTTCTGGCATCCTTAATATCAGTGTAGAAAAATAAAAACATTGTGGACACAAAACCTAAATACAGTAGCTACACTGCTTGTAGTGAATAACAAATGAAAGTGATAAAG